TTCAAACGATTAAGATGCAAAATATTTTGTATGAAGTTGTCTTCTTTGACATCATTCAAGGACCTGCAACAGTTTTCGCTTCAGTCAAAATATTATTCCATGATGAGCGGATACGGCCAAGATCGCTTATTAGCTGTTGAATTAGAAAAACTTTGTCATCTATTGTTAGTGAAGTTGACCTTTTGTTATAAAGTTCTACTTAAAGAACTTTATAACAAAAGATCAAAAGTACAACAGTTTCAAAGGATTTGAAAAACTTTATCAAAGACTTAGCTTGATTTAGCATGTCAGCAGTAAGGTCAAGATCCTCTATAGTACGATTAAGGGCAGTAATTATTTCCCGTGGTCGTTTTGCTATTGGCTTAAAAGTGGCAATCCGACCTGACCACCTGGTATCGGAAAACTTGTAAAGAGAGATTCCAGTCAATTCTTGCAAAAACTTCCACCTAGCTGGACTGCAGCTGAAAAACACGTAGAGAGCTTTGATATTACCAAAGAAAGTCTTCATCTCAGCACAAGATTCAATTGCATGTACTCCAGCTAAATTAAGACTATGGGCACCACAATAAATGTAGAAAGCTAACGGATTTTTCTGTAAAATTAAAGCTTGTGCTCCAACGTAAATTCCAGCGATATTTGAGCCGTTGTCGTAACCTTGGCCACGGCATTTCTGCAAGTCAAGACTTACTTTTATTAAAACATCACTAAATAGTTTTGCAATATCCACTCCTTTTTTTCTCCGTGTCTTCAACGCAAAGAAAGCGCTCTTTTACCTCCCAGCTTTTTTGTTGAAGCTGAAATGAACAAAGCGAAGAATAAAAGTGATCAGTTCAGTGTGTAAAACGTCTGGGGTTCCATCGATAATGACTGTAAAGTATTCAGCTTCTCTCACTTCCTTTAAAAGATCATACTGAACCAATGAAGTACACTCACGTATAAATTCATTCTGTGATTCCTATGAGAGGTAGTGTGCCTGCATTTGAGTTCCCTCTTTTTGGTGACGAGATAAGTTTTTTAGATGGATTTTTAACGTTTTGTTGTAGTTTGAAATCATGTCTATAGCTCCTAGAAAATTGCCACTTTCTTGATCTCCAAGAGCAGATGTTTGACCGGTTAATAACACAAGAAATTGTAAAAAATATTGTTTATGCAATAAATATCTATAGCTAAATAAAAATAAAGTTTACCTCTAAACGCCATGTTTCGTGATGAGAGAAACAATGTTACATCCAAAATACAGCGCAATATTTCACATCACCTCGCTACCTCAGACTCTAAAGTTTGTTTGATTGCCGCAAATTTTTATTTACTATTTTCGAACATTTTTTTCTTTTAGCTTGCGTTATGTTTTTATTTGTTTTTGTTTTTTTAATCTATACTTATTTAAACCTTTTAACTTTGTTTTACATTTACTTTTTTTTAATTTTTATATCTATAACATAATTTTTTGAATATATTCTTTTTTTTTTCTTTCTTTTCTTTTCTTATTTTATCTTTAAATAAGTAGATTTGACATTTGAGATGGAATTGCATAGGTTAACATTGAAACATGCACGTTAATACTTTCGTGAGATTTAATGCCGAAATGTAATACGTCGTCACTTTCATAATATGCATATATAAAAAAAAATTCTCTCTGAAAGCAAACTCACTGCACTAAACAAATTTACCGTAAACATGAGAACCGAAGTTATAAATTAAATAAACTTTATATTTATTTCATGAAATTATACTTTAAAAACATCAAATAAAATCACAAAACATTTAAATTAAAAATTAAACATCGTATAGACACTTGAAAAAAAAAATTAGCTTTAAATTATCATTTCTCACGCGGAAAAAGTCACGTGACTGAAGTGCTAAATAACATGTGTGACTTTTAGTAAATATTATGTTTTAAACATATTTTATTTTTGGAAATTAGTTTTATTGGAAAATCATTGAAAATCACCTTAGAAAAAAAATGGAAAGAAAATTTACACAAATTTCTCAACGTACTCCGTTGGAGCATGAACAGTTTTGTAAACTTTGGGCAATACCCTCTCAAACATAAATCATACTTTTTCTCAACCAATTTTTAACCGGGTAAAATTATTTTTAATCTGTTAAAAAATTGATGCACCTTTATAAGATCTGTTAGATTTAGTCAAAATTGATCAATTAGCCCCGTTTTACCATAACTTTTTTTTAATTTTTAATTTTATCGTTTGGTTTATTTAGAGATTACCACAGCGGTGCACAGTGTGTATACATCGACTTACCTAAATTGGTATAAAATGCACACATTATACAAACATTGATCAATTTAAGTAGGTGTTTTGCACACATATTTAAGCATATTTAACTATATGTTACTAATAATATTATCTTTACCAAATACTTTTGTTGCAATGACTGAAAAAATAATGTTTTTCTGCCGTTGTTGAATGCCGTTGTTGTTAAATAGTAATACAAATTGATGTAGCGACGTCGAGAATGAAGTAATGACGTTGCCGACCATAAAGCTTAAATTTCATACTTTAACAGCCAATAATATATGTTTATCTAGTCTTGAATATTTTTTATCTGGTCTAGCTTAGAAAAAGTTAACTTTCAATGCAGATTTTTTTAAGTAGTCCATACTAATAAGGTAAAACCCTCGAAAAAAAATTTTATTTTTTAGTTTAATTATTTTCTGCAAATTTCCTTTTATATTTCAGTGAACTATCTTTTTATCGCTAAACTACCCCAAAATTTCCTCTCTGCATGGTGATATGGTAAAATTTCAAGCTTTTATTTTAAAATATTACTAAAGGTTTAAAACTTTTATTTCTCTTATAATTAAGTTTACAAATATATATTTCATATATGCCATATAAAAAACATATAAACATATTTATAATTATATTGTAAAGCAAAATTTTAAATTGAGTCTTATTTTATAATTATAAAAAATAATACTTAAAAAAAAAAATGTTTGATACTTAAAACATTTTAAAAACAATTACCATGTTTTAAGAGTCATTTTTGTAAGAATCAGGCAGTCAGTGGAAGTGACTCTCTCCAAATTGCTTGAATTTTTTATATATTGATCAGAATATAGAGAAAACCTGTTAGAGAAAAAAAAAAATTTTTTTATATTTTGCATAAATGACAGCTATGGGGGGGGACACCCCCTTCACCCCCATTCTCCTTTGAAACGGCCCTGTCTGCAATGATGAATACTAATTTTGGAAGATGAAAATTACTCGGAATGTCGGTTTAAAATTTTGAGATTTATTGAAAAATTTTTAGAAATTTAGTTTTCGCCACCTTTGAATCCATTTTTTTTGCAAGGCAAAAAGTTGCACCTAACTTTTGTAGTCAATATCAGACGTAACCCAAAATCTCTTCCAAAAGAATATAAAAAAGTTGCGTGACACAGTACGGTTGGATAAAGATCATAATTCAAAGGTACAAAAACATTCAGTTTTGTCAATTTTTAATGAGAGCTATTTCTAACGGCGAAGTGTTGCACACGATTTTTCTTTCAGGATTTGTAAGTATCAAAAGAGTCTAAAAATGCAAAGAAAGTTATATGATACCTAAGACCTATTCATATATTTAGGCTTGAAATTGAAAATGTTATAGTATACTTACAAAATGACCCATTACGGCAGAGGCGCTAAGTTTTGTAAAAATATAATCATGTTAAATTGTCAATATAATATGAACTTTACATAATTAAAATAAAACTCATGTAATCTTTAGATATTAAGTTACAACTAAAGGTACAAATTTTTAAAAATGATTAAGTACGAAGAGATATTTTCTGGGAAGCGCAGATGCGGGATTCAGATCGGTTTTTACTCAGCAGCGCGATAAAATTTTCATCTTCCAAAATTAGGATTCATCATTGCAGACAGGGCCGTTTCAAAGGAGAATGGGGGTGAAGGGGGTGTCTCACCCCCCCCCCCTCATAGCTGTCATTTATGCATTTGAGTTGCCACATTGAGCAAGTTTTAAACTATAGTTAGCAAATTGCAAATATTGATGACCTTTTTTTTTTTTTTTTGGTGTCTCTAGTTGGCAAAAAATACATACAACACCCCCTCTCCCACCCTGAGTGTGGGGGGGAAGGGGTGTTGTAATTTTTATAGTTACATACTTTATAACTTTTCTGCAGTAAGATTTTAAGACAAATTTTACTGCAGAGTAGTTATAAAGTATGTAACTATAAAACCTTAATCTATTTTAATATTACAAGAGTGTGATTAATTTAGTTTATTAAATAGTAATTTGAAGATTGATATTGTGATTTTTTTAAAAGTAAACGTAAAAATTTAAAAGCAAACTTAAAAAGCAAAAGTATAAAATAACCTGAAAGTAATTTATTCTTTATATTGAAGTTAATTAAAAAATTATTTCCTCTGAAAATCTACCTCCAAAAATACTCATAAATGGAAAAGAATTTAATAATAAAAAAGTTATTTTTAAAGAATTTAACAAATACTTTGCAAGCATAGGTTCTATACTTGCTTCTAAAAACCTACAAACAATTCATTTGAAAGTTACGAGGATTCTTATTGCTCTCTAGTTTTCAAAGAACTAAAATACAAAGAACTCTAATCTGCAATTAAAACATTAAAAATTAATAAAAGTCCAGGTTCTTAGAAAGCCTGAGGCATCTTGATATTTATGATATCTCCCAAGATTCGATTCTTGTTCTTCTTTTGTTCCTAATTTATATTAACGACCTTTCTAAAGTTTTTTTTTAATGTTATATGTACGGCGAAATGTAAGGGTAAAAAAAAATTATTTGTTTAAATGGGAAAAAAGAATAAATCTTTTTGCATAGACCTCGGATTCCATTTTGACTTATTAAAAAGCTGTTAAAACTAAACTTTTTTCATTTTGTATTAGAAACAAACTTGTGTACATTGTTAATTGTAGTTGATTACTAACTACCATTAAATAAAAGTCATTAAAAATGGAAAAAATATTTAATTAATCTCCTAACTGAACAAGAAAAAACACGTAACTAAAAATAAAAAAATATATATTTATATATTAATGTATTACTTCAGTAAGTAATTTGTTTGTATCATGGCTCACAAGTTAGTGGGCCAAGATTCATAAGTGTACGCTATATTTCTGTAAGTTATGCTACCATGGATACACTCAATTGATTTTTTACTGATAACCGCAACAGTCTTTTATTTATGATATATTAATAATGCGTTTTATTAAACAGTATGGAAGCATTTACTTACAGTAACGTTTATTTGAAAAGAGTATTTCCGTTTACAGCTTTTATCATAAATAAAGTTTTATTTTTAATTACGGATGATATCGTTTTCACTTACAGATGTTGCCATTAAAATGTAAAACAATAGTTTTAGCCTATTGTTTAGATGATTCAATTACATTCGTCATCGTAATATTTTTTTTTAATTAATAATGAAAACCGTTATTTTGATAGCTCGATACCACAGATTTATCGCTAAGTTCGTCTGTAACATTAGGATTATTTAAATCTTTAAGTGGTAACGGCTGAACGGAGTTTTTTCTAACTACTCCGCCAAAATTGTATTCATTATCAATAGTTGATATTGGTGCTGTTTTTGAACTTTTTATAATTGATCCTGTTGAATATACATTTGTATCGCGTTGTCCATCTGGAGCTCCCCTTTGATTCAAATCATATCCGTGATTAGGTCTGTTATTTCGCATTGCTGCACGTTCGTAATTACTTCGGTTGCTTCTGAAACGTAATTGAGAAGTTTGTTGCATAATATTCATACTGCGCATTTTTCTGAAAAAAAAGCAAATCATCAACGAATTGACCACGGTGTTTCAAGTTCGACATTTTGATGAGACTTTTTAGCGCGGATAATGCTAAGAAAACATTGGAAGAACATTAAGCGCGTGTATGTGAATGAATGAATAAATGTGAATCTTTTGAAGAGAGATTTGTGATTTAATTTACAAATGTTCGCACATATATTTTTAAATTGATAAAATGTTTTTACAAACCTTCTTACGACAAATATGGTTCCAACAAAACCAATAAACACAACTAAAGTCACAGCTACAATAACTAAATAATAGATCCACCACTCATTTCCTAAAATATAAAATAACAACATTTTACATAAACTACACATAGAATAGAATACATACACTCTACGTTAATTAAGTGTCTAGAAGTTATATCTAAAAAACTTACAATCATGCTCTTAGATGCATCCGGTACTGTACCTTGCACCGGCCCAACTCTCGGGTTTGTGTAAGGTACTGTACGGTATGATAAAAAAAAAAAAAAAAAAAACGGATGGAGCTGTATATTTTACATAATTTTGACTTTAAAATATTTAAATACTTTTTGATAAAATCTCAATTTTATCCTTAACTTTTAATTAGCAACTTTTCAACACGTAATTGAAAACATGAATTTTGCTTTTTATTTTTACAATTATATTTTACAATATTGTGCCAAAAAAACCGGTAATGGATTTTAAATTAACAATTGGTCATGTATACCTAATATACCTACCCCGTCGATACTACTTCTGTCTAGTAATATGTGTCTATATTCCGGTATGGTCTAAAAGTAATCAGTGCATCTTATCAACTTACTCAACTAATGAGCCAGCCATAACTCGCTGTACATTGAGCAACAAACCACTAATAATTCTTGCAGGGGACCTAAATGGCTTCTCTACTAATTTTATTTGTCTTTCTCCCCAACTCATTCACCTTAATGCACATCCTATCCAAATATCAGCAATTCTTGACATCACCTTAAGTAATGCTTCTAAATGCTATGTGTCTATTACCCCTCCTAGCTTTGATAGTTTACATCACTTAGTTGCAGTTAGTCAGCCTCCTCTAAGTCTTTAAAAATACACCCCCCCAGTTCCCCACACTGTTGCTTACCGGTTAGGTAGAATTGCTGACACTCAGCACTGATACAATGTACCCATCTTAAAACCTTAGTTGACTCACTTAGTATTCACACCATATGAAATACAAACTGCTTGCAACAATTTTTGTTATTTTGTAATCTCTATTCAAGATATCTGCCTTTAAGAGCAATAACGCTTGTTAACCCCAAGCCTTGGATAATACCATTTATTCAAAGCCTTATAAATAAGCGTCAACAACTTTTTTCTCTGGGCACTACTACAAGTGGGAAAAACTTGCCAATTGAATCAGTAAACTAATTACCAAATATAAACAAATCTATAACAGGCAATTCTCTTCTGGAAAAACAGACTTCTGGCGAGAAATTAGGCTAGCAGATAAAAGACTAATTATTACCCAAATATCTGAGACATTAGCAAACCAATTAAACAATCAAAGTATTTGGATAGGTAAGAAATAGCCTCTCGTTATTTATCAAACAAAAAATAAATTCAGCTATTATCCCCGTTTTACACTCAATAACGTTCTCAACTAACTCAACAAACTAAAAATAGAATCGTCAAGACCAGATGATCTTTCTCCTCTTCTATTCAAATCTACTCGCTTTGAAATTGCCCTATCAATCTTTATACTGTTTAACCGTTTCATAGGAAACAGTTACCTACCTGACCAAGGGAAATCAGCAAACATAATACCAATTCCTAAAATATCTAACCTGCTCTCATCTAATGACTACCGTCCGACTGCCATTACAAATTATAGAGGACTGGAGTTATTTTAAAGATCACAAATCAATTTTTGTAATATTTTTTGACTTTGCAAAAGCATTTGATCTTGATCAATCATGACAAACTACTGCCAAAGAATTAAAGCAAATGATTTCACCACTGACTGGAAATGTATTAAAGCCGGAGTTCTTCAAAGTTGTGTTTTTGGTCCAATTTTGCTCATTCACTTTATTTCTGAAATTAATACCTATCTACAATCTGAAACCATTCTCCAAAAACATGCTGACAACATCCTAACTTATATAATCTACAATAAAGTTCCTGCTTCAATCGATTGTAGATGGTGTTTCACTATGGCCTGTCGTCAATGAAATGAAACTTAATAACTCTAAATGTAATCCTAGGTGCTCCAAAATTCAAGTTATACCTTGTATTGACAATACTGAGCTTGAAAAAGTCAACAGCCACAAATACCTTGTAATTATGCTCAATGAGAATTTTGATTGGGATGAACAACAAACAATAGTGCGCAACAATATAAAATCAGTGACATTTCTACTCAAACGCCTTAAGCAAATTGGACACACTCAGCTCAACCTTCTACAAGTTTATAGATCTTACACTATTAGTCACTTGATATATAGTGCTCCTATTCTTACTTCGTGCAGTCCTACTGTAAAAAAATGGAGATGCAGCATTTCCATAAAAATACTCTAAACATTATTGGAATTGATGTAACCAATTCAAGCAACCTCAATATTAGTTTTGCCATTGAAGAGTTACTAAACAAGATCTGCATTAGTATCCTAAAAAGATCCTTGCTAACTCATGCCATCCAATAACCACTAAATTAGCTTACACCAACAGCAGAAACCCAAACAGATTCCCATTTCTCCGAACACCGAAGCAAAGACCACCACTTCAACAATCAACAATTTTTTATTCAAAAAGATTTATAACTATATATATATCTATATACCTATATATATATATATATATATATATATATATATATATATATATATATATATATATATATATATATATATATATATATATATATATATATATATATATATATATATATATATATATATATATATATATATATATATATATATATATATATAGATATATATATATATATATATAGATATATATATATATATATAGATATATATATATATATATAGATATATATATATATATATATATATATATATATATATATAGATATATATATAGATATATAGATACAGATATATAGATATTTATATAACAAAGAAAATAAGAGATTTTCTGTGGAACGCACAGCGGTCGACAATAGGTGGACAAAATGGGAAAAATTTTAGTTGTCTTAACTCTAAAACTTATTTAACTTTAGTTTTTTTATTGATATTTCATTTATATTAAATCCCTTAGTTACATGAACTATGAGTATTTGAATATTGAAATTCGCAAAAAAAAATTATAACTTTATATAAATAATTACCGTGAGATCAACGTTGTGATATTTCAATTATATCTGGGTGTTCAAAACATCAAAACGTTTTATTTTAGAGTATTTAGAGATAAGAAAACACATATTGTTGCATAAATTAGTCGAAGCATAATATATATTTACTTTGAAGATCACAGATTTTAAAAAAATTCAAAAAAAATATTTTTCTGCTGCACTATAACTAATGATTGTCACAATTTTCTTTCTAATATTTAATTCAGCTATATGATGCTTTAATTGTGTTTCAATTGATTCCTCGTCCCCTTAAATCCCCGTTCTGATTTTATACACTTCAATTTGGTTGCTATGGTACTTAATTTTGCATAAAAACAACCTAGCTTTACATTAAAATTACTTAAACAGTTTTTATTTGCACTACGTACACTATAATGTGTGTAAATGAGATTTACACTTCTTATGATAGTAAAATTTTTGTTTAATTTTTGACAAAAGCTTCCAACCAATTGATTAGAAGTAAAGTCTTGAAAAATATAACATTTACCCCACATAAAATGATGTCGGGAATGCAAAGTTGAAATGTTATTCTGCAAATATAACTGTTGAGGGCTATTCAAATTCAATTCTTATGAATGATTTAATGATTCATACTTTGCGAAAAATCAGTGCTGAGGCACTTGATATTGAAAGGCAAAGCAATAAAAACAATGACTCTAATAAGGCTGGCTTTAATGGTATTACTAGCTAAAGCATTTATAAAAATTTTTCATCAGAACCTTACATGAAAAAAGATATAAAACGTGAAGAATTGTTAGTTATTACTTGCCTAGTCCCACTGATTCGACTGGGTTTAACAACAGCAATAAAAAGGCGCCTATTTGGAAAAATAAAAAATTATTATCCATAGCCTATGATAGTGGATGATATTGTTAAACGTTTGCGGATCTTCTATTAAAGTAAATTATTATATTGAATTTACAATGGTTGATGGGAAGGTTCAAACGGTATTATATAAAAAAACTAACTCATCCGAATGCTGTTCATTTTGTGATGTCTCTCTAAAATATGAACAGTTTTTATATCCTTAATACAAATTATACTCACAGAGAATTCAAATATGGACTTTCCAGTCTTCATGCATAGATTCAATTTTTTGAGATTTTACTCATTGAATATAAAAATGGAAAAAAAAATGGCTAGCAAGATCTCAAGAACACAAAGAACAAGATCTCAAGAACACAAAAAAAGGTATTTGTGACTAAACAGAAGTTTCAGACTGATTTTATAAACAAAATAGAGATTGCTTTTAATTTTCCTAAAAATTTGTGGTTCAATGATGGCAATACTTAAAGAAGATCAAAATTTTATATTCAGATTTTACATTATCTTATTAACACTATTTTTAGGATATGAAATAGACTGCTTAAATTTTAAGGGTTATTGTTTTGACACTGTTAGACTATATGTGTTCCTTTATCCATGGTATTACATTGCTCAGTATGTGCATGATTCAAAAACTTACATTACCAATAGGACTATGTCAGAAGAAACTTTAGAGAAATAAGTACTTTAAAACTTATTGTAAAAATTTCATTCGCCAAAATATGCGCCCTAGCATTTTTGGGATCTTCCATAAATTACGCGTTGCATAATTTATGGAAGATCCCAAAGATACTTAACGAGAATTAGATTGTATTGGTCTAACAAATAAACATTTATTAAATTTAAATATAATACCTCCCGTGTCATAATCTTGACGAATATAATCTGAACCTATAATGAAAGTATGTTTAAATGTTTTAATAAAATGAAATAATCAATAATATAATAAAGAAACGACAAAAATAATATTAAAAATTAAATAATTAATAAAAGGAAAGTATGTTTAAATATAAAAACAAATGTGTTGTTCTTTGATTTAATATTTGTATATTAAATCAAATAATTGCAATTAAAAGTTGGATACTGACATAAAGTTATATTCACGGTCTTAGAATAAAATTCATTAAAGAAGGTTCTGTAAAATATTGCTTATGAGATTTTATTATTTTATTATTAGAAAAAAATTAAGGAGGTACTCCCTTTGTTTTTATATCTTTAAATCAGAGGCGGGTAAATTGATTATTGGTAATATGCTTATAGTAAATTAGGAATAATGCATTAATTTTTGAAAATCCATTATATTGCCATGGCTACCCTAAATACCTCTAAAATTACCAAAAAATGACTTAACGCCAGTCAAAATACAACAAAACGGGCACATTTCCACCATTCAATATTGAAAGAAAATGTTGTCATGAGGCAGGGTTATGATATGAGTGGAACAGATCTTTCATAACTTTTTGTTACCATCACACCACTTTGGTCATTCTGTGACCGAAGTTCAGAGTAAAATCTTTTATAATTTTATTGACAAAAAACTTTTTTTTATAATTTAAATAAAATTCATTCCGTCCATATCTTAGAGTATAAAATGGTAAACTCTTCATGAAAATTTTATGGAAAAATATTTTACCGTTCTCCAAATATATTGACCAACTTTAAATACAAAAAGGTTTTATTCATATTTTATTCATAAAAAAGGTATTAAAAAAAAAAAATTTTTTCCAAATTTTCAAACTATTTTCAAACTCAAATTTCCGCCTGGTACATATAAGTCACTATTTTTTTAAATTATTTTGTCACTTTTTTTATCTTTTTGGCACGTAATATTTGCTGTCTTGACTTTATCAGGGTTTATTTTAATTTCGGCATTTCATACTCTTTCTTTATTAAATTCTTTGCATCCTGCAATCCTATGAAAGTTTCGTTCCATGTCCAGTTTTTTAAAAATATCAATGGATGCTTTTGCAATATCTAGACATGAATTTAACATCTAACACTTTGCCACAACAGTAGGGATAACAGAAAAAATTCCTTTCAGCAATGAATATAATCGTTTGTGCCATGTACCATCGCAGTATACACAAATACCAGTTTGTGCCAAAGATGTGCTTCGCAATTTATTTTCAGCACTTATCATTGTTTGTTCTGTGACGGTTTTAACAGCTGTTGCAACTACTTTTAGTAGTTTTTCAAAATTGTTTTTGGATATGCGCTTAGGTAAATTCATAATTCTACAAAACATTTTTTATGCTTGCTCATCCATTGGCCAATAATCGCATACAATAAATTATTTTGGTAATAATATCAAATCCTTTTTTATTATAATCCTTCATAGAGGTGTAGAACTGATGAATGTTGCAATGAACTCTTGCAATGAACTGATGAATGCTGCAATCTCTTTTCAGACACTTAAGATTTAATAAGGAAGATTAAAAAATTTATTTTTCACTGAATGAGAGTAAGACTACCATATTCTGGACACAGAAAAGAACTAAAAACAGAAACTAAAACAGTGACTGATACGATGACCAGATATTCAAGGTTTCAAAATAAGTGCATCTTCTAAGTCTTTGAATATACGAGATGAAGCTGACAAATTAAGTGAGTTTTCAATATTTGGTTCCAAAACACGAGTGCTGTTACAAGATTGCTAAACTTTTTATTTATTTAATAGCAGCATTTAAATTTAGTATTGGCAACTCAATATTTACACTATCAGAAACAATATTCACTGATTTATTAACATTTGTAATAAATCTTTTTCTTTAAAGGTGAGTTTGAGTATGTTGCTTCACTCGATAATCTTTTCCCATTTTTACTAATAAAACTAAACTGGTAAAATAACATAAAAAAATTCTAGAAAAATTCATCGAGAAACTGTTCAAGATTGCGTATAACATATATAACACTCGTATGGGTTGAATTAAGGCAAAATGTATGGTATATGCACCTTACCAAGTGCGTTACTATGGCGTTGATCGTTTCTTGGGATGTCTCTTGGAATTATTTTATTCAAATGGATAATTTTAAATAGTTATGCGTTAATATGCAACTTTTAAAGCAACTTTTATGATCCTATACAGGTGGAAGTAGCTAAAAAAAAACTTTTTATTTTGAAAACTTTGAAATTTCATAGAGGATAGCCCCATAAAAAAATATACTAGACTTGTAATTTGCTAACTACATGCAGTTAAATTGACCCTACTTAATCAGAGTCACTTCTCTGTGTTGGTATTTATCAAAATAAGAATATAAACAATATTTTAATTGTTAAATTAAAGTTAACAGTTAACAAGTTAACAGTAAATTGTTAAATAAAATATTTTATAATAAATATGAATATAAATAAGTTGTTAAATAAAATATTTTATAATAAATATAAATATAAATAAATTGTTAAATAAAATGTTTTATAACAAATATAAATATAAATAAATTGTTAAATAAAATATTTTATAATAAATATAAGTATAAATAAATTGTTAAATAAAATATTTTATAATAAATATAAATATAAACAAATTGTTAAATAAAATATTTAATAACAAATGTAAATAAATTATTAAATAAAATATTTTATAATAAGTATAAATATAAATAAATTGTTAAATAAAAGTTAACAGTTAACAAGTTAACAGTAAATTATTAACTTTGTTTAGAGTAAGTTGGCGAACTTCGGGCAGCATTGAATCACGTTTTAGTCGAGTCATTTTAGTTTTAAGAACCATATTTTTTCAGAAAGTATGTACTCAGCACTTTTTGAGGATTCAAATTCTCCCTCCCTCTCATTTAATTACAAGAAGTGCCTCTGTTAATAACATAATTATCGTTTTACGTTTTAGTTAATAAAATCATGTTCCATTCAGTTAACTTTTTTATATTAAAAAAATAATAATTTGTAAAAATTTACAAATTATTATTTTTTTAATATAAAAAAGTTTTGCACGAACTAATAGGGCATATTTCATACAATCTTCCCAAAATTTAATTTCAAAGTGCCAGATTTCGTGCATTTATTTCTTAAATATTATTTCATTTATTTAACACCCAATGTAATTTACAAGATAAAAAGAAAAATAAGTAAAAAAAAATAAGATATTTCTTGCTGATTTTCACTTAAAAATTTTAACTTCCAGAATTTGTTTAAATTTTCTTTTTTCTCTTTTGCATTCCAGCACTCTAGTGCATACATCAAAGTTTGTTCAACTTCGGAGGGAATTTCACTTTTAGAAAGTGCTATTTTTAACTTTTTTTATTTTGAATAAAATTTTAAAAACTTAACATTTAGGTCCTGGATATCACCATTTAACGAATGTTGAAATAAAGGGTGTGAGATGATAATGTTTGCAGTTGCTTTATTGTTAAGAAGATGAAGGAACAAGTTTAATTTATTTTGTTGAATTTTTTTTTGAAGTTTCCTGGATTTTAAATAACGAATTTGTATAGTTCTTACTGTGTTTCGAAACATTTAAAATCAATTTTAGTGCAGTTCATCCAATTATATCTAGCTTTTTCATCAAAGGAAATTATTTTCACGTAGTTCACACAGCTCTATACCTTAAGTTAAGGCGGGAATGTCAATGTTTTATATATATAGGAAATAGAACTTGGGTAGGGAAACCGGATTCCAGATAGACTAAGAGTTTGAACAATAGCTTTAAGATTTTTTATTAACATTTGTATAACTGAGAAAAATTTGAATATTTAGTATCCTATGTGAATCACAGATGTCTAAGTTTATTCCGAAGATTTTTTTTTTTATTGACGTTTTTGAATGCTTTTTACGGTTTAAAATAATTTAAAAGCAATGTTAAGGTTACTTTTAAAATTTTCAAAACAAAAAAAATAAAACAGTTGAAACTAACAGCTGATTATTTTTATCATTTAAATTCTTTTAATCAATATTATGTTTGAAATCAACTTTGAACTTGCAAAGACTGAATCGTTTGTATAACAAATATATTCTAATTAGTAAACCAAATTGTTACCTTTGATTAACTATGAGCACCAAAAAAGGAAAAAGTACAAACAAAAATGCAATGATATAACTATTATGGCCGTAGTTGTTCCAGATTATTTTTCATAGAGAAAGGAAGCGTAAAAAACAACGTACCTTCTCAAACAATTGGGGATAGAATAAACAGTAAATAAGGTGTTGCCATGCAAAAGATAGGTTGCCATGCAACATGGTTAGTATTTATAAAACTGTTGTTTACTAGTAAAAATATAACATAAACATAATGTTATATCTTTTTAATGAACACAATTTTTAATGAATATTAAAATTGCATAACATTTAATTTTTTTTTTTACTTTTACGTTATAAACCTTTGGAAGATAAGGACCAAGCAAGAGCTGTTTTGATTAAAACAGCGAAAAAAAGATGTTTTAAAAAATGTTTCAAAACGTAGCACCAAACAAAGGGAAAAATCTTTGAGACAACAATAAACAGCATTATATAGGTGAGCATCAACTCCCCAATAATTAAAAAAGCCGTATCATAGCTAATAGAAAATTTTTTTATAATTTCCCAAGCTCAACAGATAAATAACGGCTAAATTAAATAATCTGAATGTATAATAAAGTGATGACACAATATTTTTAAACCTGATTGACTTACAATTGTTTGGTATTTGAATAATGCTTTTCGTTCTTTTTATCCTTTTTTTTTTTTTTATGTAAATAAAAAACAAGGTTATAAAAAAGGTATTTAGAATCTTGCAAGGAGAATGCCGGGAAATTCGGGCCAACACCGTATTCAAATTAAGTAATGTTTTACTGACCTAGAGAATTATTAAGTTAAATAACCGTAAATAAATTACAAAAAAATTCAAGTAGAAAAAGGTTTACAGAATGTCGATGGTATAAACCCTAACACAAAAATATTTTTTTTTTAATTTTGATTAAAAGGTTTACAGAATGTTGATGATATAAACCCTATCACAAAAATATAAATAACGGTTCTTAGATGTGTATTATCATATGTAATCGCTCGGAAAACTTTTTACAAGGAAATGTACAAATTATCTAATAACGCATCTTAAATAAATCTGCTAAGCTTAACACACAAATAAAGTGTTGTGCACTTTGTTTGTGTGTCAATTAAATTTTACCTCGTCTACTTGCACAAAATTGCGCAAACCTTCTATAAATACCAAAATGAAAACAAAAAATAAAAGAAATGATGTTTGCGGCAAATGTTAACCACACTGCCCAAAATTTACCAACTTATTCTTAGTTAACGTTCACAAGCCAATTCAATTTTAAAGCTATCGAAGAATTAAATTAAATGTAGCAATGTCAGCAAGATTGTTAATATAAAGGAAAACCAATACATGATTAATAATGGAGCTTTGTGGTACCCTAGAAGTTACTAGAAATAAAAAAAGTATTTTTCTTGATAAAAATTTTAATACTTCAGTTAAAAAAGTATAACTTGCTAATCTTAAAAACAATCCCAGAATGCTATATGAAGCAAGATTATGGAGAAGAAAATTATGTCAGACTTTATTAAATCTTTGATATGACAAAAGTTTGCCCTTACCTTGTCATCTCCGTCTCCATCTTACCTTGTCATCTCTGCCTCCATCTTACCTTGTCATCTCCGTCTCCATCTTACCTTGTCATGTCCGTCTCCATCTTACCTTGTCATCTCCGTCTAATGCAATGTTGCATTAGACGGAGACGATTTAATCTGTTTCTTTATTATAATTATCAGAAAATGAGTATTATTTGATGGATAAAGAAAAAAAACAATATTGTCTGATAAATTTAGAAAAAAATCAACAAGATCAGAAGTAACATCAAAAAGATGTAGTCTTGACAAAAAGGAGAACAATTAAGAACGAAAGTGAAAGTGTTTAAATAATAAGATAAAAAATGATCAGAAGGTTTAAACCTCACAACAAATATGTAAACTAAATAAATATATTTACATATACAAATGAATTAAACAAATGATGCTAAATAAAAACTACTTATTAAATTAGTCTTTTAGTTAAAATGAACTTCTAAAGACCTCAACCGTAAACAACGCCTGAAGACCCTCAACCCTAAACAACCCCTGAAGACCCTCAACCCTAAACAACCGCTGAAGACCCTCTGCGTCTATAGATTATTTGTCAGATAAATTGGTAGAGTCGTGAATCCAAAACTAGGATTCACGACCCTACCAAATTTTTTCGAGCTAATTACTACTTTCTTGTAGAATAGTTTGATAGCTCATGTGCTCCCATCACCTAACTGAAGTATTATGTACTTGCTATAATATAGAGTAAGTAAGTACACAATTCTTTTTACTATAATACTCAATTTTTGTCAAGTTAGGTTTTCAAAAAATGTCGTAAAAATATGTAATGCATAACATAAAAATAAAACCAGTTAGAATTAACTATGGCATAATAATAATCCTAAAAAACTTACCGTTAAATACGCGTATATTTAAAACATTACTTTGATTTTTTCCAACGATATTTTCTGCAATACAAAGGAATGATGCTAATGAATCTTCGTATGGGTCTAAATACGTAACTACAGAATTATCTAAACTATTAAATAAAATTGTATCGGCTTTTGAAATTGTGTATCGAGGAGGAGGGTTGCCGCCAGCAGAACAAGTAAGATTAACAAAATAATTTGTAAGAACAAAAAATGTTGTTAAGTTTGATGTCAGTACGACTTCTTTTGGAGGATCTAAAAAAAAATCTAAAATTTAGTAAGTATTAAAATATACAAATTGTATTTAAATGTTTGATAAACTGCATTTGATTACCATTATTACAAGATTGTATTATTTTGTTGTAAAATAGTTTCACTAATATTTTTTTTTTTTAATAACGTATTGATATAAAAAAAAATAACTTTTTTATTGTGTTAGTGCAAAATAAGCAATATTAAAATAATGGCAATATTCAATAAACTATATTGTCCAGTTGTTATTGAGCTTTGTACTGAACATCGGAGGTATATTTTTGTAATTTGAGTCATTAGCATATTTAACAATTTGGAGTAGTCGAATTAAATTAGAAAATTGAAAAAAAAAAGGAAATTTAAGACATTACTGTGAGGCAATAATGAGTTTAGTGATTAAGGAACAGTTTGGTGCATCGAGAACAAATTAATATATAATTATCATTAAAGAATTTTCATAAAAGAAAAAAATACCCAATAGTTTTGAAAACTTTCACAAAAAATGTTTCAAAAAGTATTATAGTAGAGAAGAAAAAAATGTGTTGTGACCACTCATTCTTGTGAGTGTAAAGAATCATGCAAACACTTCTATAATTAAATCAACATAAAAAAAAAGTCGAAAATTGTTTTTGATTGTAAGAAAACCAATTAATCGGTTTTAAGACAAGGTAATGTAAGAAGACATGTCTTTTAATTAGTTATTTAAATAGTTAATTAGTTTGATAAATATTTAGAATTAAATATATATACTAAATTATATATATAAATATATAATTTAGAATTCTCTATAGAATTGAAAGACATGATAGATGTAACTTTTAAGCATGACTAGGATAACCATTGTTAAATAAATAAAGTTCAGTTATAACTTATGTCTAACTAAATCATAATAAAAGATCTTTGACTCCTCTTTGCTCGAAAGAGGCATCAAACAAATGTCTTCAATTAGTTAGATTATTGAGAAAACGTTTATTTTGCGAAACAATATAGATATATATAGATAAAACGTTACAAATTAACACAAATATTAAATAACACGTAATATTTGTTTATTACATTTTTTTTTTTCATTTTTTTTTAATGTTATAAAAAAAATGTGCAACTTTAATTATAAGTACTACAGTAACTGGGTTTAGAAAGTTTGAGTTGAGAGAAGCTAAATGTCATTTGAACTTAATATAAACTTAAAAGAACAAAAAATTTTTAACTGACTTTAAATCTGTGCGTGTAAGTGAACTATTTAAATATGCCTGTGTTTTATTTAACTAGGTATGATGCGTTGTTTAATGTTGTTTTTAAATAACAGTTTTGTTAAAAAAATGAAATTTAAAGAAACAAACAATAAGTAAAAAATATATTTTTTCTAAAGCAAGTAATAGTGACGTTAAAGAAAGTATTGAAAAATTTACAAATTCCAATAAAGAAGATGAGTGTTTGAATAGTAAAAGTTGAATCACTATTTATATATTTTTATATAATATATTTTATTACTATCATAATATTTCGAATTTGAAGAAAAAATTTAAATGAAAATATTTAGGATAAACAGTTCACCGGTGATCTTACATAAAAAAAACATAACCATGTAAGATTGAATGACCAACCAAGTTATAGCAGCCGTGTTATACTGGTTAGAGCTCTGGCTTCAGAAATTGATTCCATGGGTTAAAGCTGGCTCTGGCCATATATACATCTTTGGTAAGGAAGGAGGGGTGACCTTTCTGTTTAAATGCTGTTCCGCGGTGGTCTGTAATAAGACTACTAGGACTTCTTGGACCACCTGTATAACTTATTAAAAGAAAAAATAGATATCAACCTTCTGTGAACAAAAAAAGATGTCAACATTCTGTTAAGTTAGTAGGATCTGAAAAATGATTTCCTACTGCAATTTAGTTAATTTGGTTACGTCTTTTAATACGGAGCTGAGAGTATTAATTTTCAAATTAGAAAAAAAAAAATAGTAAAGCATGTTTATAAGATATGTCACAATTATAGTAAATGCTCTAAAAGCTTCTTTTTTAAATACTCCATTTTTTTTCAAAAAATCATTGCCAAACGGAGTAAAACGATGTAAAATAATTCGAATAATTAAAATAATGTTACTTATTAAAACAAATATATAGATAATCTCACTGTAAAATTATTATAAATGTAACATAAACAATATAAAGGTTTTATTAAAAGCAATTATTAATAATAAAAAATTAAATTCGAATTTATTTTTGATATTTATTTTTTATTTAAAATAGTTAAAACTGTCATCAATAAAAAATTATTGTTTATAAATTTTACTTACACCAAACATCAATTTCTACATACTCTTCTATTTGTGGACTTTGTTGAGTTTCATCGCCATATTTTAAAAGCACATTTATTACTCCAATATACTCCACTTTTATTTGCTTTACAAAAAGAACATTTCTTATTGACATATACAAACCATCAAACGGTAGCTCTTCGCTGCTAAGAACAAAGTCAGCATAAGATGTAATATTTTTTTCATTGAACTTCCAGTAAAGAGATGGTTTTGGGTTTCCTTTTGCAACTACTGTAAAAGATATGTTTTTTGACGATTCACTATCTTCTATGTAAGTTACATTTGGCGGCAAATCTTGTGTAAATTTTAGAGGAGCTGAAAAATTTTTTAAGTATCTATTATATAAAATAACCTGTTGTCACAACGTGACGTCGTCTGACTTGTTTAATTATTGGTTGTTTGTCTTACATTTTTTTAAGAAAGGGTGAAATCAATTTTGAGTTTCTACTCTGATACATTTTTTAAGATTTATCAAAATAAAATTGCCCAAATATCTATTAAAAAATTATCATACCTACGTAATTTATGTAAAGCAGATCAGTTAATGGTACAGCAAGTCCATTAAAGTCAATTGAAACAAAAATTCGATTATCAGTTAACTGATCAAGACTCAAAAAAGTAATATTCAAATAATCAACAAACACTTTTGCAGGATTACAGATAGTTTTAATACTGCTTGTAACAATCATATTTCCTTTTGCATCAACACTTAATAAAGTTTGAAGGGGAGTGTTCGTTTCATCAACAAGTTTCCAGGTAGCATAAAATATTTTTTGTCCTTGCTTATCCAAGTTCCATTCTAAACTTAACTGGCTTTTATCTTGAGCATAAACCTGCCGATCAGTTTCAGTTAACCATTGTTGTGATGATACTAAAAATACAATTCATTTTTGATAATATTATAGATATTTATAATATATACAATATTATAAAAATATTTATTTTAAGTTTAAAATATTTAAATATGTGCTTAACTACCTTGTTTTTCAAAAGAAAGCAATATTGTAGTCATGATATAAAAAGTTACAAAAAACATTCCTTGTAAATATCTTCAATATAGTCAAAGAAGCAAATAAAGAAAATATTAGATAAATTAATTTAATTAAAATCTTTTATAAAAGTAATAGAATTTCTATTTTGTAAACCATATGCGCAAAGATATATGAAGAAAATAAAATGTTTCGACAATAATTTTAAAATAAATAATTTATAATCAGCTTCTTACTTTTGACTGCACTCTATTCATCGATCATACTATAGCTCTTTTCTATAAAATATTAAAAAATGTATTTAAGTTTTTCATTAATACGTAACAAACAGCTACTTTGTGTCATTTCTAAATATAATATATATAATTTAATGCGTCTTGTTTAAAGTCTATGTAAAAAATATTAAAATAATATAAAATAGATTATATATAAAGTATAAAAAGTGAAAATATTTTAGAAAAAGTAGCAATTTAGATAAAAGTAATTTTTTAAGAGCAAAAAAAAAATTTCAAGTTTTTTTTTATAATTTTTCTTTATTTGTCCTTTTGAAATTTTTAAAATAAATATTGTAGTTTAGATTGCTTACATTACACCTTTAAGTATCTCCACTGTTTTAAAAATTTGGATATATTGTTTAAATAAGGTTAGTTATTTTCCAGTACTTAGTACATCAAATTTATTTTTTTATTATCCTAGTGAAAATCAGCCGTGATTTTTGTGATTCTAAAGTTGGCGTTTTAAGTGTTCGACTTTGGAATCAGTTGCTTAGGTTTTCTCCTATGTCTCAGTGTTTCAGCAGCGTTTTAGGGTTGGACGGTTGCAACAGCAAAATTAAAAAGCAGCAAAATTTTCTCAAATATTGAAAAAAAAATAGTGAAAAAGGATCAAAAAAGGTCAAAGTAATAATATTAGTAATAATATTTTTGCGTCACGGTAAGGAAGGAGGCGTGAACTTCCTAGTCAAATGCTTTTCCGCGGTGCTCTGTGACAAGGCCGTTTGGTCTTCTAGGGGCACCTAAATAACAAAAAAAAAAATATTTGCTGTGACAACAATATACATTGATGAAGAATATGTGAAGATAATGCAGAGCAAACAAAGATCCGATAAAAATTGTTATTGTTTTAAATTTTCAAGCCAGCCTTAAAATAGTTTAAGGACCTTGAACATTATAGTCTGAAGATATTACTTGAAGAACACATAAATTTGTCTTTAAATGTCCGCGTATTTTCGTTGAAGATTCATCCCTTGTTATTGACAGAATAAGTTTCGGGCTTTTGAACTAACTTTACAAATAAAACAGCTCAAAAGTTACGCATTGCGTGACAAAATATTTAATGCATGTTAACGAGTTAGAACGGTAGCACAATTCGTAGCAAAAGCTTGTTGGGCGGCAGTCAAGTAAGATGCACCAAGACTATTTTTTTTATATTTTGGACCAAAAAAAAGGAATAAATAATAATATTGTTTCTATTTTTTTTCTTAGACGCTTATACATTTTTTTTATCTGTTGTCGCTTAAGTGTTGATATTTTACCAATTTTCCGGAGTATCGATTACAACTTTTTTTTTAATTTTTACTATTCTTTTTAAAACCTAATTAATGCCTCAGCTTGTCTAGAAGGCGTATGTAGAGTAGCTTTGATAAAAATAAATAAAATCTCAGTTTTATCAAATAAAAAAAGGATTTTATCGAAAAAACATATCGAGTACAAAAAAGATTTTATCGAATACAAAGAAATAAAATTGATGTGAAAGAAATTTGCTGTACATTATATATATATATATATATATATATATATATATATATATATATATATATATATATATATATATATATATATATATATATATATATATATATATATATATATATATATATATATATATATATATATATATATATATATATATATATATATATATATATATGTTTGCTCGACAAAGTGACGAGTTACTATTTGTGTTTAAAAATGTAGCTCTATAGAAACTTTTTAATTTTCTTTGGCGCCTCAAAAAACAGTTTTAAAAAGTTAAAAATTTATAACTTTTTTGAAGTCAATCCAATTTATAATTTTATTCATTTTATCAAAAGCTCAATAATAGGAGAGAGTGGCGAGAAATAGAACATAAAAAATATTTCTAAAATATCTTTTTTTAATAAAGTATGTACCGCGCTAAACACATTTTAACAAATAAAGCATTAAGTCGGGCTTTGACTCCATCACCTAAGATTGACAACAGGTTAAAATAAAGTATATATATTTTTTTTCTTCAAAAGATTTTGCTGCGAATATATACTATATATTAAGCCGCGAATATAATTTTTGACTGCTCTTCAAGAATATTAATTTTAAAGATAGAAATAACGATCAAAAGTATTGAAAAAACTATTACAAACAAGTTTGGAGAACAAAAAAGAAGTTTGTTCAAAAAATTCAAAGAACTTGTATTTTTAATTTTAGAGAAACCGTGCCATTGGGGTAAAGTGGGACAGTCATTGGGGTAAAGTGGGAAAGCCATTGGGGTAAAGTGAGACAGCCATTGGGGTAAAGTGGGACAGCCATTGGGGTAAAGTGGGACAGCCATTGGGGTAAAGTGGGACAGTCATTGGGGTAAAGTGGGACAGGCAAGTAACTAACAATATATTAACAAAAATTATTAATTAAAAACTGTTAAAATTGTAAACCACGTAATCTTCACGAAAACATTCAAGAGGTTTGCACAACATAATTAGTAAATAGTGTTATGGGAAAAATAAGAGATCAAATAATTTTTTTTATCCCGCTTCACTCCTCAAAAAATCATTTTTTTGGGGTACTTTTTAAAAACGTGGTTTTTACTAAACACAGAGAGACAAAATGATGTCTGCTAAATAGTGGGTGAAAAATTGGATTGTTTTCATTTGATAATATTTATTAGGAGTTGTCCATAAAGTACGTTCGCCAGAATTTCAACCCTTAACCCCTCCCTTCCCCACATTTTGCCATAGTTTTTTTTTGAGTACTTCCCGCCTCCATAAAAGTACCTACGTTTTTAATCTGCATACACAAAATTTTATGATATTTTTTTTACATTAGTGTATCCGTACTTTTATAATTGACTCTCTGCCCTCATTCGAGTATGCTCTTTGCAAACCCCTCTCCCCCATATGAGCGTATGTATTTTATAGACAATTCTTTAGGAATGTTTCCTAATTGGAATTTTTGAGATGTTCCACTTCTCCAGCATCCCACTTCTCCCACTCTCCCTCAAATAAGTTTATTTCTCCATAAGGTCGGGCAAAACCAATTGTAAAATTTGCGCGTGTACTTTTTGGACGTCGAGTATCACAAGAAATGCTTGTCTTTAAAGTATCTAGGAGCTCTTACTCTGTACGTACGCATTGCACTGTACGTACGCATTGCACTGTACGTACGCATTACACTGTACGTACGCATTACACTGTACGTACGCATTACACTGTACGTGCGCATTACACTGTACGTACGCATTACACTGTACGTACGCATTACACTGTACGTACGCATTACACTGTACGTACGCATTACACTGTACGTACGCATTACACTGTACGTACGCATTACACTGTACGTACGCATTACACTGTACGTACGCATATTTTGAAACTTTAAACGGGCTCAGAATAGACAGAGATTTGCGCAACCTGATTGTCTTATTAAGAGAGGCATGTGTGTATTTGCTGAAAAATATGATATAAATCAAAACAAACAAATTTTCGAAATAAACAACAAAATAATGATAAATTAAGTTTATCAGTCTTTTTATCTAAGTACTCCTCAAAGTATTCAAAAATTCTATTTGTACAAGAGAATCTTCACTCACAAAAATCTCAAAATTCTATTTGTACAAGAGAATCTTTACTCGCAAAAATCTCAAAATTTCAATAAAGTTTATTTTGGTTATGTGAATTTACTTTGGTGATGGGGATTTACCTAAGTGATGAAAATTGTTGTTAATTTAAAGAAAGACTACTGGTGAAGAACTTTATATAGACTTATACATTAAGCTATCCCGCTGAATGTGGTTACGGCGCTCAATAACCAAATGACTACACCGACACTCACGCACACGTTCAGTCGGAAACTCCACAATGCACATCGGATCAGCTTTCGCTGACTATGTCTCTGAAATGCTCGTGCTTGTATCTGAAATTCTCGTGCTCGTATCTGAAATCCATTCTGTAGGTCTTACGTCTGACTCTGATGTGCTAGCCCATAAGCGCAAGAAGTGAGTGTGTTTAGCTTTCTATTCACTTTCGATTTGAAAGTGAACAAAAACATAACGAGACCATACTAGACGACAAAACGGTACGTAATAATGCACTACACCATCACATCTGTAGACATCAACATCCTCTAAAATCAATATATCAAATATTTGTTCTTTATTATATACTTTTGTTTATAATCTTTTTTTAACTTACTCTTGTACATTTTTTTTTTTTTTTCTTTAGGTGCCCCAAGAACCTAACACCTTGTTTCTATCTAATTTTCTCGATCTGACGTTGCTCAGTTAGTTTGTTGTGGTTTGCGAATACAGTCTTCACTAAAGTTGTTTTGGTCGTTTTGTTAACAATATTGTTTTTTAACGTTTTATTTCGCATTTATTGTCTCATCTCTTTATTTTCTCATTATTCTCTGTCTACTGATTTAATGTTTGGGTATTTTTTTATCTCTGGCTGATCGTTGTTTAATTACTCTGAGTCTGTTTTGTGTGATAATTATCTCTACTTTTCAGGCAAGATTTATATGAGAACATACTATTGGAGTTATCACATTTTTTATCATATTTTCGTTTAACTATTTTCGTACAAAATACCACAAAATAAATAACCACAAAACATTTTAACTTAGTATCAATGTTAATGAGTGGTATTTACTTATTATATTTATAATGCCATAAAAGAAACGCGTTTTTTTTATGGTCGTTTACAACCGTTAAGTTTAGGTGCGCATGTGCCAGAAGTTTATAGAAATTTCAGAGTTTTTAAAATGGCTGCGGCTCTTAGTTACACCATGGAAGTATTAAAACAGATGGAAGTTCATCGAGCCGCAAACATCAAAGCAATTTCAAGTCGTCTCGGAAGTATGCTTGATACACCGACAATAAAAAAGAACAAGTTTCACTGGATAAAAAAAACACCAAAAGTCACTGAAATGATCTTTATTAAAACATTAAAAAATGAATTATTCTAGGGATATGTTGCAAATTTTTAACCATTAGTAATTGCAATTATTCAACAAAAGGTTTATTAAAACTCGGTAATTAAATAGAACCACTTGATTTTAAAAGCATATGTTAGTTTAAGCTTCTTTTCTTGCTTTAAGTCATAACACGACATTTGATAAAAAAGACAACTAAAACAATTTTTAAAAAATAAAAAAAATTGTTTTCTAAGTAACTAAAGTTTAAAGTTTTGTTATCTGTATACGATAACTCCATTCATTCTTGTAGTACTCCATTCATTTAATAAAAGTTTATAAAAAAGTTTTTGTTTGCCGTTACGTTGCGCCATTTTTAATGTTTTTCTTGAATATTATTGGCAAACCTTCAAAATACTATATTTTTAAATTATTATAAACGTATCTATTTGCGTCAACGTATAAAAGCGTTTAAGTACAGTCTTGATGCCGTTTTCTTATTGTTTACGAAACAAAAGGTTACAAACATAGTCCCGAATAATTTCAATGCGGCTGAACTTCCATCTGTTTTATACTTCCATGGTTACACGAGCGTCTAAATTCAGGAAAGTCTCCCTATTTTAATTGGATGGAAAAAAATTGTCTTACAAAGCCGTAAAACAATTTTCTCGTTTGGCGGACTTAGTGAATTGTATATGATATACATGGAATACGTATATGAAATATTAGAAATATAATTTTAGAGATAAGGACCGCGTGAGACACATTAGTCCAATCAAATTAGGGAGACATTACTGTTAATTATTTTGTCCAATCAAATTAGGGAGACATTCCTGTTAATTATTTACCTTTGATTTTAACATTGTTATGGTATTGCTAGTTTTGCTTTTTTTTAATTTATAGTTTGTATTTTTTAAAGAAAGCCTAACATTAAAATGAAAAGATATTATTTTTTATTAAACATTCAATGGGTAAATAAAACTTTGCATCCTAATTATTGTGTTACAATTATAGTTAAACAACATTAGTATTGTTTTATTACATATTATTGTTACATTTATAATTAACAATAATAATATTCACAATAACAGTATTATTGACAATAGAATAACTGTTATTGTATTAATAATACTATAACAGTTATTGTATTGTAAGTAATATTTTGTTGACAATACAATTAATGACAAACATTTATTACAAACTTATTAATTCTGTAGCTTTATTAATAAATGTACAAACTTGATTTATACATTCTCTATGGCTATGCTTAGAGAGGCTCAATGAATCTGATTCAAAAAAAGTATATTTAATAGTATGTAATGAAGAGTCATTAGTTAGAGAGGCTCAATGTAATGAAGAGTCATTAGTTAGAGAGGCTCAATGAATCTGATTCAAAAAAAGTATATTTAATATAATATGTAATGAAGAGTCATTAGTTAAACAACAGTTTTTTAAGAAAAATAAAATAATAATAACAATAATAATAATAATAATAATAATAATAATAATAATAATAATAATAGCAATAATAGCAATAATATTAATAATAGCAATAATATATTTACATATATATAATTAGACATTAGATAATTAAGCAATCATAAAAAGACTTCGACAGAATTAAAATTATCTCTTTTTTGATATCTCCCTCCCCAAAACGGTTCTGTGATAATTTAGTAACCCCCCCCCCTCCGCACCCTAACCTCCTATTTCTTATGTGACGTGAATTTTGTAAACAAAATATATCTGAATTTTTGCTAAAACTTTACTAATTAATAAGGAATTAAATTAAAATTCAATATCAATTTTTATCACAACGGAATTATATCACACAAAAAAAAATAGTTATTTGTATAGCTCTAGACGTTACACATTATGAAGGCCTTAACAATGCGTACGTTAAGGGCGTATACAAAGGATTAAGAAGTTAAACTTTCAAAGAAAGTTTAACTTCTTAATCCTTTGTATCCGCCTAAGAAACGTAAAGAAACGTTGGATGTCAAAACCTAAAGAAACGTTGGATGTCATAAAATTAACGTGCAATAGGAAACGGGGGTGCGAAATCAGTTATTTTGCAGCATATATATATATATTATGGATACCCATAAAAAGAAGTTGTATTAGTGGCGGATTTAGTATAGTAATCCTTAGTAAGTGCCTTGGAGAACAAGTAAGAAATGTATAATTCTATACCTCCCTAAAAGTACCTACGTTTTTAACCTACCAATCCACCATTTTATAATACTTTTTTTAATTTAATGTCTTCAAACTTTTATAATTGACCTACTGCCCTCACCCTCATCTCATATTTTTACATTTGCAGACCCCTCTTCCTCTATTTTATGGACGATCCCTTAACTACTTTTTAAGTGCTACGAAATAAAAAATTTAAAATGTTCAAAATAACAAAGTTTTCAATTAAATAAGATTTCAAAGTTCTTTCCCCAGGGTTTTTAATAACTGGTGTAAGATTTACAACCCTAAAATTAAAGGCACATGATTCGTTTAAAAATCGTTAAATAACAAGCAATAAGTTTACGACTGTTAGGGAGCTATTCATCAAATCAAGAAAGTGAACTATATACTAATCAATTATTTAAAATATTTGGAAATAAGGCCAAGATAAATCTAATTATTTAATAAACAGGGGGAAAAAAAGAATTATCTGGTAGTATGAAATGCAACCAACAAAGAAAAAAATGTATTTAGTAACTTTCATATAATTTGCAGTAATTTGCTTCTCTGTTTTTTTTATTTTTTGTATAATATTTTAATCTCTTCCATATACATTTTTACATTATTTAGACTTTCTTTTTTAAATATTTATAGTTGCAATACAGGGGTGCGCTGGTTATCGCAGAAAAAAATGAAAACAAAAATTTTGCGGCAAAAAATATGATATACAGTGAAAAACATTTTTGGCGGGAAAATGCAACACAGTTCAACAAGTTAATCCTTAAAAAATGCCGTTTTTCACTAATTTAGTTGTAAAAAATGGCACGATTTGACAGCATGCAAAATGAAAATGCAAGAAAACTTGTTTTTGATCTATGGAAACGTGGTGTGAAAAAAGTTGAAATTTGCAAAGCCGTGAAGGGACAGCTTCATAATTCCAACGTCAACAGACTCTTAAAAGACTTAGAAACTGGAAAAAATTACAAAAAAAAAAAAACAGACCCAAATCGTTATGTGAGAACTAAAGAACTTCGAAATTCGATCGACTGCAAAGTACGACGAAACCCAAACAGGTCAATTTCATCCTTAGCTAGAGAAGCAGGTGTGTCTCGAAGGACTATGCAACATGTTGTCCACGATGATCTGGGTACGAAGAGCCTTGTCAAGTCAAAAAGACAACTTCTGAGTGAGGCAACTAGAGCCAAAAAACGCAAAAGATCAAAAGAGTTACTAAATTGGTTCAAAGACCACAAAGATGTCCCTACCGTTTACAGTGATGAAAAAATTTTCACAGTTAAACCAGAACCCAACAGATACAATGAAAGAGTTCTTGGTAAGTCCAGAAGAACAGTTCCTTTGGAACTGAGAACTATTCCAAAGAGACAGCACCCTGTGGGCGTCATGGTTTGGGCAGGTGTGTGCTCTGATGGGTCAAAAACTCCCCTTGTTTTTGTTCCTGAAGGTGTAAAAGTCAACCAGGTGACCTATGTCGACTTCATCAAAGCTAACCTCATTCCTTGGGCCAAAAAGAAGTTTGGGGACGATCCATGGGCCTTTATGCAGGATAGTGCACCAGCACACAGTGCAAAGAAAACTGTCAGCTTCTTGAAAGAAAATGTTCTGCACCTTTGGACCCCAGATATGTGGCCCTCTTCAAGCCCAGACATTAATCCTATGGATTTTGCTATATGGAGTGTCATGGAGACCAAGAAGGCAACCAAAAATATCCAAATTTGGCAGCCCTCCGAAACGAATTGAAGAAGATCTGGAAGAATCTTAGTCCGGACATGGTGCGACGACGCTGTGAGTCAGTTCCAGAGCGTTTGAAGAGTGTCATTGATGCCAAAGGAGACTACTTTGAAATTCATTAGTGTTTTTGAGTAAAAATATATGTGATTTGGTATTGTGAAAATTTTTACTTTGAAAATAAAAGCCATTTTTGAGATATAAATATTTTTATATTTCTGCGATAACCTGCGCACCCCTGTATATTCTATTTCTTAAGGTTGGTTTAAGCTTTCTGTTTATAGGGTTAGTTTTTGATTGTGTGATTCAAGAAGACTTTTTTCTTTAAACTCGTAATAAATGAATTCGCCTCCTTGTTTGTAGTATTTAAACCTATTTTTCTATCCAAAACCCTATTTTTTTATAAATCGAATAACACGATGTTCTAACATGTGTCACTTTGATAACAATGAACCATATGACCAATTAGCACAATAAAACTATTAAATCAGCAATATACTTTTCTAAAGATAAATATATAGTAATAGTAAAAAGCATGCCTGTTTTATCTAATATAAATTTCATTTCTCAAACATACTACAAACACTTTATTATGTATACTAATATAATACTCTATGCGCTACTTATCAACCAATAGTTTTTAATATAATACTCTATGCGCTACTTAATATAATACTCTATGCGCTACTTATCAACCAATAGTTTTTTAAAAATATCTAATCAAAACATTTAAATTAAAATAGTTTCAAGAATACTGTTCTAAAGATTAATATCCTTTACCTTCTATCCAAAATCATCAAATTGTGTGCTCTTGTTCATCTATTAAATTGTCTATTTGTCTAGAATCAGGCTTAAGTTAACCTACCTCCCTCAATCTGTTATTTCTTTACAGCTATAAAAAGTTCTTGTTAATATTTTCTGTCGTTGAGTAATCTTAAACTATATAACCTCAATGATTACTTAGTTATGTACGGCACACGTACGGCATACATACGGTTTTACATTAGGGTTGTTAACCGGAGGATTTCGTGCAATTCCGGAAAAACAACATTCTTTCGTAAGGAGATTGAGAACACGGAATTACATTTTTTCGTACCGAATGTTACGAAACATTTAAAATCGCCGATGTTCATTTCGCAAAAGCCACTTCCGAAATTTAGCATTTCGCAAGTTGACATACGAAACAAAACTATTTTGCAACATACGAAAGTAGCGGTTTCGGAAGTCGCACTTGCGAAACAAACATTTTTGCCAAACGACGTTTTGAAGTCTATAAAGAAAATTTGTTTGCCAGACTGATTTTAATTGTAAAAATTAACATCTTTAAATCCCAAAATGTTTATAATGAATTTTTATTTTCAGTAAAATAACTTATTAAATTTTTACGGTTTTATTTTTAGAAATATTGATAAAAAATAAAATTTCTTTCGAAACGAAAGTATTTCGGATCACAACATACGAAAGAATTCTTAACGGAAATAAACTTACGAAACGTGCCATAATAAATATATACAACGATGTTTTTTGAACTCATTACGTATATTAAAAATAAGAATGATGGGTAGGAATATACATGTTTTTTTTTTAAAGCATATGAAATTTTTGAAACAGGTTCGAATATGCTTAAGCAAATAGTAAAAAGAGGCTCAAAAATATGCTTTAGTTTAAGCATATTTCTGATAAAATATACCTATTTCAATTATTTCTAAAAGTGTGCACGTTACTAAAATTCTAGCAGATTTTAAAGGTATGTAGAGTCCTGTTTGAATACGCTTTTCAAAGTATAGATCATAGAAAATATTGTTTTTTAATTTTAATAAGATATAAATTTGAGTATAAGATTGTATAGTTCAATCAGTTAGATACGTGATAATTCGCCGCAGAGATCCGGGTTCGCATCCCGCAGCCATTGTAACTTTTGTTCATCAAACTCTTTTTACTTAAGATAGCATTTTTTGACCTCCATGTTCTATATTACAGATCTTTCGTCGCCTTCACAATAGTGACAACCTCTCTTCTGTTAGTTATTCTTTTAAGATTGAGTTCATTGTGCATAATTTAACACGTTTCCCTTGCTTTACTAAGTTCTACTTAAATTATGATGAAATGTACGTAAAACAATTTTTTCAAATAATATAATTCATTTTGCTTTAAATCTTTTGCTTTTTGTACTAGACATCTGTCCTAAATACTTTGTAATAATTTCTAGCTAACTCTGAGTCTAATATAACCATTTCTGAATATAATTTCCCTGAGGCTCATACAGCCTATTGTGTTCCATTAAAAGTAACTAGTTTTTGAGTCCAGATATTAATTATAAGCATCTAAAGGTTCACATTACTATTCATTTTCCTGATATATAGAATCCTATTTGCATACGTATCTCTTTCTGTAAATTCTGTTTTATATAGTTTCAAATTATATATTAAATAAATATAACTATTCTCTTAGTTGAATGAACGTATAGCTCATTCAGTTAAGACATTTGGCCGCGTAGACCCAGGTTCACATCCCGCTGTTTCACATATATTTCTTCTCTTTTTACTCTTTCTGATATCATTTACCTTTAGAGAGATCTCTCGTTCTTTATAATAAAGTATTTAATTGTTTATCACACATCCTCTTTATACTTTTTAAAAAGAAAGGCATACTGTTTATCTATTCATTGAGAGTTAAACTTAACGGGATTTTACTGTATATATAAGTATATATTTATATATATATATATATACATATATATATATATATATATATATATATATATATATATATATATATATATATATATATATATATATATATATATATATATATTTATATATATATATATATATATATACATATATATACAGTAAAATCCCGTTAATGTATATATATATATATATATATATATATATATATATATATATATATATATATATATATATATATATATATATATATATATATATTTATATATATATATATATATATATACATATATATACAGTAAAATCCCGTTAATGTATATATATATATATATATATATATATATATATATATATATATATATATATATATATATATATATATATATATATATATATATATATATATATATATATATATATATATATATATATTAGGTATATTTGTATAAACATTTGAAGAATCATTTGACAACATTTTTTTATAATTTTATTATCTATTATTTGAACTGTTAACGGTTAATATCTTAAATATATCGTAACATAAAATCTTTTGCGTCTTTTTCGTAACTACACATTCCGGAATGCTTTTTCCGTAAGGAACTATTTCGTAAGTATTCTTAAGAAATGATTTGTTTCGCAAGTTTTCTTTCGCAATGCTTTATTACGGAATTTTATTTATTTATATTTTCGTATAGCGCGTTACGGAATGTGCATTTTCGCATGTGCAACTTCCGTAATAACAATTCTATTACGGTAGATAAAAATGCGAAATTTTCGCAAGTTTTGTTTTTCGGCGAACAACCCTATTTTACATACAATTTTCAAAATCTTTTAGTGAACTGATAAAAATTTCTCTAAAAACAATCAGACACAATAAAGAAAAATGATAGCAGATGTATTTATTTATATAGAATTTTACTATCCTGCATGATTATCCTGCATGAATATTTTAAATAAATAAATTTAATAATGTATTCTTATTATAGTTTTAATTTCTGGGGTAATCTTTATAAAATCGTTTTTAAATTATTTTTTTTTTTAATGTTTATTTGTAGATAACCTAAATATTTTATTAAGTTTGTAGATAACCTTTTTATTTTGTTATTTTGTTTTTATTTTGTTTTATCTCATTAAATTTGTAGATAACCTTTTTATTTTGTTATTTTGTTTTTATTTTGTTTTATCTTATTAAGTTTGCAGATAACCTTTTTATTTTGCTATTTTGTTTTTATTTTGTTTTATCTTATTAAGTTTGTAGATAACCTTTTGGTTTGTAGATAACTAAATATTTTATTAAATTGTAATTAAATGATAATAAAAATGTAAATTGTTATAAAAAGTTTTTAAAACAATCAGAAATTCATCGGTCTTATCATAAAGAAGCACTAGTGCTTAAGTAGTGCAATTTTAAAATTTACTGTTTTTAAGCTACATATTTTAACATTTGAACTTTTCCCATGGCTTTGAAATGATCTATTTTATATATAACATGTTATGTGAGTGCACTTACATAAACTTAAAATCACTCAAAATTGAACTTAGAATGCACAAGTCTTGTGTCAAGAATCCTACTAAACATAATCTCGTTCTAACCAATCCAGGGACCAAATAAAGCTCATGTATTTTTTACATTAAAAAGAACAGAACAGCTTATTAATAAAATGCCTGGTGAAATTTCTTCGCCTTGTAGGTGAAACTTCAGAACATCAGAATTGTACATTAAATATCAGAACACAGGGACTCAAAAAAGATTTCTTTGCAAGATCCTGAAGCTGACAACCGTTTAAAAATGCAGTAAAAATATAACCAGTTAAATAATTACAATAACTGACGTTTAGAAATGAAATTTGAATCTAACCAGATATGAATAAGATTATCATTTTTTGTTTTTTTGCTTTATTGCATATAAATTTTGAAAGGATATAGGGGTTAGGTTTATCTTACATTTGTATATAAATAAAAAGAACATTAAAAACATTTTGCTGGTATATATTAAGAGCATTCATTTCTAATAAAAGAGGTCTGGCATGAATACAAAGATCATTAAAATTTATTAGACGTGTTATATGCTTCTGTTGCCAATAAAGAGCATCTAATTGACTACCCCACGCGATATTTGCATAGTTTATATGGCATTGGATTAGCAAGTGATAAAGTTGAATTAATGAATGTCTATTTACAAAATTTCTCGCTTTATACATTACTCCAATATTTTTTGAAACTTTATTGTGCATAGTTTCGATATGGTTTTTCCATGTTAGATTTTTATCAATGAAAACACCTAGGAGGTGTACAACTTTTGATTTTTTTATTTGAACATTGCCAATATATATTTAAGGCATATTTAATAAAATAATTTTTTGAGATTTTGAATAAAATAAAGTCCATTTAGTTTTTTCTATGTTAATTGGTAGTTTATTTGACTTAAACTAATTTGAAATTTTAATTAGTTCTATGTTGATGTCATTAAATAGTGTTATGATATTTTTACCGGATAGAAAAAGATTTGTATCATCAGCAAACATTTGTCTTCAAATTTTAGGCATTGTGCAGATTATTAACATAAATGAGAAATTTTTGGGGAACACCACATGTTATAAATAGTAACCTTTGGGGAACACCACATGTTATATATAGTAAACGTGTTGAGGAAAATACGTCAATTTGCACAAACTGCTTACGATTGCATAGATACCTTTTATGCAAATTTAAAAAGTTTCCTCTGAATCCATAGTTTTTAATTTTTTGTATAAGAACCTTATGATCTATCGTATCAAAGGCTTTTGATCAATGAAAACTCCAAGACTAAATTGTGATTTCTCAAAAGAACCTGAAAGAATTTCTAGCTACATTAAGTATTGCGAGTTCTGTGGAATTTTTTTTTTAAATCCATATTGACTGGCATTTAATATTTTATTTTTAGAAAGATGTTCATATATTTTGTTGTAAAGAGTCCTTTTAAAAACCTTCCAAAAACCAGAGAGTACAGATATTGGTCAATAATTAGTTATGTTTGATAGTTCACTACCTTTATATATTGGTGTAACTTTGGCGATCTTTAGTTGGTTAGGAAATATTGCTTGTTTAATTAAGCAACTAAATACTTTAAAGAGTATAGTTTTTATGATCCATATATGCTCCAATTTTTCAAGATCCAATAATAATGTTACTATGTATTTCGTCATGACCTCTCGCTTTATTTGTTTTTAGCATTTTATAAGCACATTCAAATTCTTTCACTATAATTTCAAAATTATTAAGTACAGAAATTTTGGGAAGGATAAAATAATTTGTTTTGTTAGTTACAACTAGAATATATTTTGCTAGATTAGGACCAACAGCTACAAAGTAGTTATTTATTTATATTTTTTTAAGATTTGTTGGTTGAGTACTAGCCCATGTAATATTGGCATAGTATATGAGTCAATGTATTAGGCCAAAATATACTAGTTTCAGACTTTCTGATGTTACAAATGGACAAATACGGTACATCAAACCAATTGTTTTACTAATTTTTGGTTGAATATAATTAATATGGGGAAGCCAAGATAAATTTTCATCAATAAGAATTTCTAAGAATTTTATTGAATAATTTTTACTAATTAGTGTATCATTTAAAATCAGGTAATTTTAAAGGAAGTTTTTCAATTTGTCATTTTTTATGAAGTAAATTATATATTTTGTTTTATCTACATTGAGTGAAAGTTTATTTGCCTTAAACCATTCATCGACATTCATTAGTTCAGAGTTCATGTCAAAATACAGTTGATTAATGTCACAGATTTCATTTAAAACTTGCCACGTGCGCTTTGAGTTTTTAACGTGATTTTTATAAATCGCCTTAATTTTATCACTTTTTGACTTTAGATACTTAATATACAATTTTTGTTTTGGACATTTTTCAATTTTAAAACTTATTTATGATACTTAAGACTCAATCTTTCATGCCGATGAATTCAATTATATGTTGCTCAACTATGTGTATCTTCAAAGGAACTGTAGCCCCTAGATTTCTATAGCTCGTAGATGACTGTTCTATATCTTTGACATAAGCAGAGCTTAATGATTTTCCAAAACAGCCATGGACCACTTTTACATAAGCAGAGCTTAATGATTTTCGAAAACAGCCATGGACCACTTTTTCAAAATCTCTGAGGACATTTTACTAAGTTTCTTGGGACTTACTTTTTTTTGACATTGCGTCATAAACTTCAAAAAATGTTTTAAAAAATGAGTTATAAACTAGATTTGCTTTAGATAAAAAATTTGTATGTTTCCAGTGTAGTAAAGATAGCTACTCATTAAAGACATTATATTTGCTTGGCTATAGCATCGTTTAAAGTAAACTATATTTTGTTTCGGTACTAACTCAATATCAATATTTATTGAGAAAAAAATCAGGAAATGATCTGAAGCATCGATTTTAATTAAACCCTTTTTTGAGGTACTCATTAAAAGTGTCCGTTGTCATAAAGGAAGCAGAAATTGAAGTTCCCTTGTTGGTTTTTTGGTTAACGGATATGCACCGTTTTCAAATAAATCATTATAAAACCCATTAATTTTGCACTTTAAGTGATATTTGAATGCGTTTAAATTTATGTCACCAATTATGTAGCTTAGTTTCTTTTCTCTTGTAGTTTTTTTTTTATGATATCGGTAATTCAATATGAATGAAAATTATTTATTTCACCAGATGGTGGGCGATAACAGCAACTTATAAGTATATTTTTTAGTTTTTTTGGCTAAAATTTTAATTGTTAAGACCTCTTTATCGGCATCAGAAATACTCAAGTCAGGCCTATTAATAAACCGCATTCCTTCGCTTACATAAAAAAGAACTCCATCTCCTCGTTCTTTAGTTTTTCGTGCTAAAGGTACAAGAGTAAAACCCAGAAGATGGAGATTTGAGTTAGATTTCGCATCATCTGAGCTACACCAAGTTTCAGTTATGCATACAATGTTAAAAATATTTAAAGTTTCCTCAATATTTTTCCTAAAATTTTCAAAATTCTTTTTTAAACTTCTTATTTTAAAATAACATTTAACTAATCTCGGTTAAGAAATTATTTCATTGTTATAAAAGTAAGAAAGCAAAGTACGAGCAATTGCTTAACAAAGCCTCCCTACTTCGCTAAGATAAATTGAATCAGGATCAGTTTCTTTGTTTGTAAAAAATTCATTTGTTTGAAAAAAAATTAAAAGAATTAAACTCAAAGTTGTTTAGAAGTTTTGAATTTATTTTTGCGCTTTAAAATATAGAGCTAAAAGAATTTCGTTTAAGATAAAACATAAAAATGAATGCAAAATTAACATTTATTCAAAAAAGTAAATTAATTTAATAAAATAAAAAAATCTCGTTTAAGATTGGGCATAAAAATAAAAAAATTATATTTCGCAGCCTTTTGCGTCAATTTTTTTTTCAGCCCATTTGCGTACGATAAGTTTGTTCAAGAGATAAACGCATATTTTTCAAGTTCAAGTTGTTTTACCATTTTAACTTTCAAATCTTTTCTTATTTGGACAGTTTCAAAACAAAAATCCTCATTTAAATAAATGTTCATTCCTTTTAGCTTCACAGATCTTTTTATAATATCAGTTTTATTTTTATTGTTTAAAAGTTTAATTATTATTGTTCTATTTTTATTCTCACCTCTTGGTCCGATTCTGTGTGCTCGTTCAATTATAACATCTTTGATTTTAAGTCTTTCTTCAAATAATTTGAGCAGTTTTTAACTTGCTATCCTCCTATGTTTAGTGCTCGCTTTATTTTATTCCATTTATTCTTAAATTATTTCTTCTAGACCTGTCTTCTATCTCCGTTAACTTGTTGTTTATTTTGTTCACATTGCTCCTATCTTTAACTTGATTGCTAACTTTCTTTGTTTTCTCTTTAACTATTTCAAATTTTGATGTCACTATTTCATCATTGACATCAATAAATTTATTAATTTTATTTAGCTCAGTTTCTAAAAAGCAATACTTTTTATTTAGACGTTTCTAAAGCCTTTTCTATCGAGATGTTTAAAATGTCTGATTCAAGTTTATCAAATCTTTTGGTAATAATTTTAATATTAGCTTACGGTGCATAGAAACATGCTCTGAGATCATGCAACGCATTCCCAGTAATTTTTTTTTAGTTTTTTTCTCAGAAGACTCTTCCTTGTTTCAAAAATGTAAAAAACAACTTTATTTTTTTTTTTTTATTTTTTTTTATTTTAACATCATCGCTTCAAACAAGGCTGCAAGCAACCACTAATTAGTGTTGGAAGTTACTGGAAGAGAAAAAATGAAGATTGTAGACCAAAATAACGATTGACAGACGACTTAAAAGAATGCAAATAGAATGGAGAGAATTTTATACAACAGAACTTATAATGATTTATCTGTAAACAATTTAATATATAGCAATCAATATGGATTCAAAAAATAATAACTCGACAGAACACGCAGTTCTCCAGTTTACACGAAGTATTACTAACTCTTTTGAAAACTCCCAATAAACAGCTGGGGTTTTTATCGACTTAGCTAAAGCTTTCGATACAATAGACCACAATAATTTTTTTAATAAACTAAAGATTTACGGTAAAAACGAAAGTGTTTTAAATTGGGTAAAAAGCTATTCAAATAATCGAAAGCAGTTTGTTTACGTTGATGTAGTTTCACCAGTAAACTTGCTTGATATAACCTGTGGAATTCCTCAAGGATCAATATTAGGGCCTCTTCTTTTTCTTATTTACATCCATAAAGCCTCAAATTTAATGACGATTATGTTAGCAGATGACACGAACTTATTTTTATTTCATAATGATATTACATTGTTATTTTAGAATAACAATAATGAACTAGTAAGAGTTTCTGATTGGTTAAAGACAAATAAACTGTCTCTTAATATTGATAAAACGAAATGGATTTTTTTACATCCAAATCACACAAAAAATCTTATGCCAAATGAGATGCCACTGCTTTTTATTGATAATATACTTCTAAAAAAAACAGTTACAAACTTTCTTGGTATTTATATTGATGAAAATTTTCATGGAAAAGTCACAAAATTTGAGTAGTAAAATATCAAAAAGCATAGGAGTTTTGTACAAAGCAAGGAGTTTTTTAAATAAACATACTTTACTTAAACTATATTATTCGCTCATTCATTGTCACATAAACTATGTGAACATTGCGTGGGGTAGTACAAATAAAAGTAAACTGGAACCTCTTTATCGTTAACAGAAACATGTTGCACGCCTTATCAATTTTAAGGATCGATTTACTAATGCCAAGCCTCTATTAATTGAAATGAAAGTTTTAAATATATATGAGCTTAATATTTTTAACGTTATATGCTTTATGTTTAAATGTAAAAACAATATTTCTCCTTTACCTTTTCATAATTTGTATAACAAAAAATAAAAAACTAAGTACATTTTACGAAATGATAATGACATTCGTCAATCAGCTTATCAAACTAATTTTGGAAAATACTGTATTTTATTTCGAGGAGCATTACTTTGCAATAAAATAGTTTTTAAGAATTTGACTTTTCTCAAGAAGTTAGCTATCACTCTTTCAAACAAAAACTTAAAAAAGTCTTTTTTTTATTAAATGATATATCTAAATTCTTTTAATTTTTTGTTTCTTTTTTAACTTTATATTTAACACTGCATTAATAAAATTTATAACTTAACAATTTGTAAATAGTTGTTAAACAATTTTGTTAAAGGTATCTTAAAACTGTATAACGCATTTATGTATTTATAACGGAACCCTCTTTCTTTTTCTTTTTTTCTTTAAATTTGTTAATGTTTTCAATTCTTAATTCTTAATTAATTGTTATCTTCAAGTATGTTAAGTATATATTCCTATTGAAAGTTTATTTATTTTGAGAAATTTTTTAGCGGTTCTTGACGACAAGACCTTACGGTCTTCTACGAGTTCCCGCGTTCTTTTATTTTTTAATAACGATCATGTATATATAAATACATTGTTAACGAATATTAATTAAATCACAAAAGTGTAAAATTAAAGAACAAAAAAAAAAAAAAAAAAAAAATGCACTTCCCCGGTGCTCTGTGACAAGACCGTTAAGACTTATTGGGGCACCTAAATAACAAATTAAAAAAAAAAAAAATCATAATCCCAAAACTGTTTATGTACTTTGTATTTTCCATCTTTTACAGTACATTATTCTTTATCATTTCAGTTCAGTATGATATTCGATGATTCTTAATTCGAAATACATGATTTTATAATTATTGTAATAAATATAAGTCAATTTTTTAACTGCCACTTTTAAAAATTTGTATAGTTTTAATAATTGTGAACTGGACTATGTATTATTAACTCGCCTCAACAGGCTCAATAATCACATTATATTTCCATACCAAACCACCCAAAAAAACGTTAATATTTAAAAATAGTTCTTTAAAATGTTCCTTTATTAAGAAAAAATAAGCTTCTATTATTCAAAAAAAAGTAAAGAACCTTCCCGAAACCTTACGCCTCAGCCAACATAGGTTGACGTAATGGAGAAAAATTTTAAATTATGAATGAAAAAAGACAAACCGTAGTTATTTATTTTCCTTCAAAACTTTTTGTACATTAAAACTAGTAAAATATTTATGCTGCAAGGTATGAAAACATTTAGAATAAAAACTTATTGTAATTAATTTCGTTCATTTTAAATCTTATTAAAACTTTAGTTCCACCAAAGTTTTATATATGACTTCGTTGAACAATGTCGCGTGTTTAAATTGTTAGCTCAATCGTATCTAAAAAAAATAAACTATTAAAATAAAACTTTAAAAAGCTAAAAAATGTTATAAATATTAAAGTTTGATTATGATTTGATATAAATATTAAAGATTTTATTAAAAGCTCTTTAATTAAATATATAAATTTATCATAAAGATCTCCCCTTCAGACGAGGACCCAATAAACAAAAAATAACTAACAATATTTGAGGTACATATCTTACTTAAATTACACATCCACCCTATGCAGGCGTCAAAAATATTACATCCCCCTAAGTAATTCATAAAATATTTCATATAATTAGTATATAGTAAATAGAATATAACATCCATCACTTGTAATTTCTGTCTAAATTACATAAAGAAACTGAAATTTTTTCCTAAAATATCACATCCCCCCTATGTATACTTCTAAAATATTAAATCCCCCTAAGTAATTTATAAAATATTTCAAACGATTAGTATTTGGTATCTAAAATATCAAATCCCCCCTGTTTATTCTCTGCATATGACACAAAAAGAAACTGAAATTCTTACTTTAAATATCACATGCCCCTTATGTATAATTTTAAAATATTACACCCCCCTAAGTAATTCTTTACAATATTTCAAACGATTAGTATTTAGTGTTTTAATTATCAGATTCCTCACTTGTAAATTCTGTATGTATCACATAAAGAAATCGAAAATTTTACATAAAATATCACATCCCCCTACGTATACTTTTAAAATATTACATCCCCCTAAGTAATTCTTTACAATATTTCAAACGATTAGTATTTGATACCTAGAATATCACATTCCCCCTGTTTATTCTCTGTATATGATACAAAAAAACTGAACTTCTTACTTAAATTACACATCAGACGTCTAAAATATTACATCCCCCTAAGTAATTCATAAAATCATTCAAACAATTAGTATTTGGAAGCTAGAATATAACATCCATCACTTTTAATTTCTGTATAAATGACATAAAGAAACTGAAATTCTTTCTTAAAATATCGCATCCCCACTATGTATACTTCTAAAATATTACATTCCCCAAAGTACTTCTTTACAATATTACAAGATTTCATTTGTAAGTTGTACCACAAAAAGAAACTTAAATTCTTACTTGTAACATCACATTCTCTCTATTTTTATCTTTAAAATATTACATCCTCCTATGTAATTTATACAATATTTCAAACTATTATTATTTGGTATCTAGAATATCACATCCCCTCGGTTTATTCTCTGTATGTTACAAAAAGATAAAGTATTTTAAACAATTAGTGCTTGGTACCTAGAATATTATATCCATCACTTGTAAGTTCTGTATGTATCACATAAAGAAACTGAAATTGTTTTTTAAAATATCACATCCCTCTTATGCATACTTCCAAAATATTACATTCCCCTAAGTATTTCTTTACAATATTTCAAACAATTAGTATTTGGTGTTTAAAACATCAAATTTCTCCTGTGGAGACTCTGTTTATGTCACAAAAAAAAAACTTAAGTTTTTATTTAAAATATCACATCCCCTCTATGTTTACCTTTAAAATATTAAATCCCCTAAGTAACTTACAAAATATTTTAAACGATTAGTATTTGGTACCTAGAATATCGCATGCATCACTTGTAAGTTCTGTATGTACCACAAAAAGAAACTTATATTCTTATTTAAAATATTAAATCCCCTCTATGTTTACCTTTAAAATATTACATTCCCCAAAGTAATTCACACAATATTTAAAACGAACAATATTTGGTATTTAAAATATCACATCACCTCCATGTTTACCTTTAAAATATTACACCCCCTTAGTAATTCATACAATATTTTAAACGACTAGTATTTAGTATCTAGAATATCACATCCCCTTGGTTTATTCACTTTATATGTTACAAAAAGAAACTGAAATTCTTATTTAAAATATTACATCCCCCCTATGTATACTTTTAAAGTATTACATTCCTCTATGTAAATCTTTACAATATTTCAATTGATTAGTATTTGATATCTAGAATATCACATTCCCCTATTTATTCTCTGTATATGTCACAAAAAGAAACTGAAATTCTTACTTAAAATATTACATCCCCCCTAATGTATACTTCTAAAATATTACATCCCCCTAAGTAATTCATACAATATTTCCAACTATTAGTAATTGGTATCTAGAATATCACATCCCCTCGGTTTATTCAATGTATATGTCACAAAAAGAAACTTTAATTCTTAAAATATCACATCCCCCCTATGTTTACTTCTAAAATATTACATCCCCCTAAATAATTCATACATTTCTAAATTACATCCCCCTAAATAATTCACAACATTTCAAACGGTTAGTATTTAGTGTTTAAAATATATATGATTCATCACTTTTATATAAGATTCATCACTAAAATATAAGATTCATCACTAAAATATAAGATTCATCATAATTCTGTATGACAAAAAAAACCTAAAATTCTTACTTAAAATATCACATCTCCTCCATATTTACCTTTAAAATATACATCCCCCTAAGAAATTCATACAATATCTCAAACGATTAGTATTTGGTATCTAGAATATCACATCCCCTCGGTTTATTCACTGTATATGTCACAAAAAGAAACTGAAATTCTTACTTAAAATATCACATCCCCTTGATGTCTACTTCTAAAATATTACATCCCCCTAAGTAATTTATAAAGTATTTTAAACAATTAGTATTTGGTATCTAGAATATAACATCCACTTGTTATTTCTGTATATGTCAGTTTATCAATTTATCATGCATGTTCTATTTTTATTCAATTTGTAAATTCTATTTCATAAATCAACACACACTGTAATTTGCTTAGCTTGTTGAACAGCCTAGCTTTAAATATGTTGTGGATTAAATAGCTAACCTTAACTTAATCTTAAACCAATAGAATAATTTATTCTTAAACAATATAATAACTTAACCTTAAACCAATAGAACTACTATATACATCTACACCTTAATTTATTAAAAAAATTAAAAAAAGCATAACGTTAAGAAAGGTGTCATCTTATTGATATTTTTATAACAGGTAATATTTATAAAAAATTAATAGGAATAAATTATTTTCATATTTTGAGTATCTTATCTTTTTTATGAAGGTTACATAAAAATATCTTGAAATGATATAAATAAAATCCAAGTCTAAAAAGATATTATTTAAATAATTTGAACAGATGTAATTTCTGAAATCGAGAAAAACCAAAATGCAAAAGGATTTTCAGAAATAAAATAAAACCAAAAAATTTTTGCTTGTAAATTAGACATGCATACTCTTTGATGTTTACCAGCACATAAAACTGAGCAGCCTTTCACGTCATTACATCTGAGATTTTGAAATTTACAATACTTGAAGTAATCTTTTTATGACATACAAATCCCGTATCCTTTTGAGTCTCTGACAAGCAGGTGGAATTATAACACTAATTAATTATAACACTAATTTTCACTCTATAAATGCAAACTTTTTGTATTATATGCATCTGTTCAATTCTAAAACTCTCTTAAAATAAGGATGCTTTGCAAAAAATTGCAATGATTGGGGTCCGCGAACAAAAATGCCCTAAACAAAATATCCCCCTACCCCATATTTGAGGGCACCTAGTTTGCAACATTCGTCAATTTTAAATTTCACGATATAATCTCTAGCATTCAAAAGTTATGGCCATATACGGTTTAGATCCCCCTCAATTTGAGGGGGTCACAATTTTTATGTTGCCATAATTTTTGAACGATAAGAGATTTATGAAATTTGAAATTTATCAATGAAATTTAATTGAGTTGAGAAAAAAAAAATATGTTGCAAACTTGTTGCCTTCAAATTTGGGGTAGGGGGATAATTTGTTTGAGGCATTTTTGTTCCCAGGCCCCAATCATTGCAATTTTTTGCAAAGCATCCCTATTTGACGTAAGTATAAACATATGAATGTTTAAAGTTTGCTCCATATCTGGAAGTTAGCTATCTCTAACACCAAAAAAAGCTGAATCCGCGCCTGAATTAAATGTAGAAAATTTGGAAACTTTTGGTTTAAAATAATCCAAATATTGGGGCTGGGGGTAATTCTTGTCCAATTTTGCTCATCTTGGTCTCATTTTTTAAGTTTTCCTATACTTATTATAGAAATCAGGGAGAAAATATGAATTTCTAAAAAAAGTTGTTTTCACTCCACTCAAATTGAGTTGTTTTCACTCCATGATGAGAAAAGATGAGCAAAATTGGACAAAAATTACCCCCAGCCTAAATATTTGGATTATTTTAAATCAAAAGTTTTCAAATTTTCTAAATAAAAAATTCTAAATTTCTCCAAATTTTCTTGGAAAAAAAAATAATAATAACAACGGTAAAACGAAAATATCAACCTACTTTGGAAATAAGTTAACGCCTGCAATCCAGCGTATCTATGTTTTTACTTTACCTGATGTTGTTATACCAATCCCTAACCAATACCAATAGATACTTTACATAAGATTTGATAAAAATTACATGGTGTTTAATACTAGTCTTATAAAAATGGATATGTTATAATCATTTATATAGAATATGTTATAATGCCTGTAGCTTTATCACATTTTAATTTAAAGTTATACCAACCAACTGTTGTGTTATATTTTGTTTTTAACTGCAAATTTCACATTTCGATTCGGACAATGGACAATTGAGACTCAATTGTCCATTGTCCGAATCGAAATGTGAAATTTTCAGTTAAAAATTAAAATATAACACATATAAAGCTACAGGTATTATAACATATTCTTTATAAATGATTATAACATATCTATTTTTATAAGAGTAGTATTAAACACTATTTAATTTTTATCAAATCCTATGTAAAGTATCTATTGGTATTTTTATATTTTGCTGCATTATTAAAAAAAAAAAAAATGGCTTGCACAATAGAACAAAACAAAAATTTAAAGCTTTAGTTAAAAAAGCAAAAAATAGACTAGTTAATGTAGGCTTTGATAATTTTTTTTTTTTTTTTTTTTTTTTTTTTCAGTTTACAATTATTAATCGTAATATAACAATATAAAAATATATAAACTTGGTATCTGAAAGAAGATCCAAATGATCTTGTCGCCAGAACCATATAAAAGATATAATACGTGTATATATAATAAAATAAAATACAATTGATCAAATAACTAATAACAGTGTAGAAGAAAAAAAAACTGAAAATAATTTTACAAATTATCCAGAGTAAAAAAAAAGAATTTTACATTTCAAAAATATTTATATATATTCCAGTAGAAAGAATATAGGGTAAACTGGGGTAAAGTGAACTGTTTTTGATATTTAAAGGAAATATTTTCAAAATAAAAGCCAAAACATTTTGCAGTTTTCAAAATTTATACCATTTAAAGTATTAGGTACAATATAAAACAAAATACTAAGATTAAAAGCTACTTTTACAATATTAAATATATATTCAAAAAAAACATGTCCACTAGTTCACTTTACCCCCACATTGGGGTAAAGTGAACTACTTCATCTTTAACTCTTTTGTGTTTGTTATTTCTAATAAATTAGTTTTTTTATTTTGTATTTTGCCTTGCTGCTTGATCTTTCTTTTAAAGCATTCGTTTTCTTCATCATTTAATCTTTTAAATGCATCTTCTGATGTAAGACACTCACCTCCATAGTGTCTTTTTATTTTTTTTGTAGGTCGTTTGTTGTATGAACGACCATCACCCTTTGTGGCCATTAACTGTTCTTTCACTATTTCTCTAATGATTTTATTTCCAGTAGAACAATCTACATTTGATATTGATAGTTGATTTATTTTTTCATTGTTTAAGTCTTTTCCTACTGATATTATAGTTTTTTGTGAATTGTATTTATTTGTTGATTCAATAGAAAATTTTTCACAAGTATCGTTCTGATCATTGACATTGGTGTCTAAAACGATGTTTTGAGGGACGTTATTATTATAGTTATTTGTTTTCTGAGAAAAAGGGTGTTCATAGATTTCAGAAGGATTTAACTTGTCAGATGCTATAGCAGATGGATCAAAGGGAAAAATTCCAGTTTTGGCAAAGGATTGTACTAAATGAGCTGGCTTAAAGGAGGTATCATAAAGTTTTTTTAATAAAGATGGAAAAACAGATTTCCCAACCACCTTCAGCCTTGACTCGGTATACCAATTGGCCAGAATTTCACGCCATACATGTTTAACTTGGCGAAAGACTCCTACATCAAGTGGCTGAAGCAAATGCGAACAGTGTGCTGGCAAACACAAAATAGTTATATGATTTTCAACTGCTTTTTTAACAGTTTCTAAAGAAATATGACTAATGTGACCATCAAAGATAAGCAAAACAGGCTTGGGTGTGTCTTTCAACCATAAAACAAGATGGTTAAAGTATTCAGTGAAAACTTCTGTTTCCATCCAACCGTTTTTTGTCACCCCATATAAGGAACCATTTGGTCCACCAGTCATCCACTCTTTATACAAATTCTTCCCAGCAAATAAAATAAATGGAGGAAAATTTCTTCCTGCAGCTGATATTGTTGCTAGTACAGTAAACTGTTTTTTTCCTGATCCAGGAGCAATAGATACAGGGTTTTTAATACCTCTTTTGCAAATAATTTTTTTATTTATTGGGTTAGTGCAAAACCCACTTTCATCGCAGTTTAGTATTTGGGCAGGTCTATTCATAATGTCACATTTTTCCAATGTTGCTTTAAGTAATAAAAACCAAGCATCAATTACAGTTTTATTACAAGCTAAGGCTCTTGTTAATGTCAAAAGCTCTGGAGTTCTTATAGATATTTCTTTCTGCCAACGATTTAAAAAATTACAAAACCACTGATCACCAGCAACACCATTAACAAATTTTTTCTGAAATCCGTTTAATTCAATATACGTTTGAACAAGTTTCATAAATTGTTTTTTATCTAATCCAAATCCAAAATCAGAAAATGCAGATAAAAGTGAAACAAGATCTTTTTCAGCATCAGCAGATAATCGGTTTGGTCGCCCTTCACCAACTTTTGAGCATTTTATGCCTAGAAGATGTCTTGCAATTGTACTTCTTGGAACACCATATTCTTTTGATGCAGCATACGAAGTCATTTCTTTATTTTTAACTTTCGAAATGGCATTTTGCAACAAATTAGGTGCATATGTTTTTCTTCGAGATTCTTTTTTCTTAATGTAGTTTCTTGGCATTATTTCAATATATTATATTTCTGAAAATAATTTTAAGAATATTTAAAAAAAAAACAACTTATTTTAAGAGTAAACAATTTAGTTAAGTAATTACAATTTATATATTCAGTTCTACTAAAAATATTTGATGAAAAAACATAAGAAAAAGACTAGTTCACTTTACCCCCAATAGGCAGAAAAATAAGGGGTAAAGTGAACTAAATTGATTTACAAACTAAAAGCTTAGCTTTTTTATATTATGATAAAAACTACAATTTTTTTTTAACAGCATTATATTATCTTTAAAATGTATATAAATTATATAACTGATGTTCGCATTAATAACAACAAATCATGAATTTACTAAAACCCATAGCAAAGTTTGAGATCGTAATTTTAAAACTTCCGCCAAACTCGCTTTTTAAAATGGCTATTACATCAAAACAAAGGCTATATTTTATTAATTTTTTTATTTAAAAAATTTCAAAATGTTGTATTAAGCAAAAATAATGCTAAATTACTTAACAAAAAGTTTTTTAAACATGATAACTTTTTAGTTTAAAAAAATAGTTCACTTTACCCCTAGTTCACTTTACCCCAGTTTACCCTAGTTTTTTAATTTATTTTGAAAAACGGAAAACGAAATTGACAAATCAAAATTTGGAACAACAATTTTGTTCCATAAATACGGTGCTCTATAGTTTATGCCAAATTGATTAAACTTTGTTTGACAAAAGGGTTCAATTAATAAATTATTATTTCGTAAAGCATATTTGTTTATAGCTTTATAAGTAAAAAGATCTTTGAAATTGGACAATGGTCGTTCACTTTTACAACGAAACATAAAACATAAAATATTATAGACATTGAGTTCGTAAACGTTAAGTGCTTTAACGTTTTTAAATAAAATATTTGAATGAGAAAAACGATTTTCGAAACATATTAAACGCATTGCGTGTTTCTGACGATGGTAAAGATTTCGTAACTTACTTTTAGAGGTACTTCCCCAAACAGTATTTGCATAATTTATATAGCTATGAATAAACGAGTAGTAGAGTTAAATTAAATTTTGTTTACTTAGATAGTATCTGACCTTATATAGAATTCCAATACTTTTAGCCAATTTAGTAGAAATATAGTCGATATGATACTTCCATGTAATATTTTCATCAATGTAAATGCCTAAAAATCTTGTGACCAACTCCTTTTTTATTTCAATTTTATCAATAAAAAGTTTAGGCAATTTATTTGTTAAAAATTGCTTTTTAGCAAGAAAGTGGATCCTTTAAAAAGATCCACTTTGTTTTGTCAATGTTTAAAGTTAACTTGTTGCACTTAAACCAGTTGGAGATCTGATTGAGTTCTTTATTCATATTTGAAAAAAGCTCATAAATGCTACTGTTTGACAGAAATAAATTAGTATCGTCCGCAAAATTTATACTCATAAGGTTAGAAGCTTTATTTAAATCATTTATATAAACTAAAAACAAAAGTGGGCCTAGAATAGAGCCCTGTGGAACACCACATTTTATGTCAATTAATTTTTCATTTTGAAAATAATCTCCATAGAAAACAAATTGTTTTCTATTTTCCAAGTAACTTTGATACCATTTTATTAATTTGCCATTAATTCCATAAAATTTGAGTTTTTTAAGTAGAATTTTGTGATCGACCGTGTCGAATGCTTTTGATAGGTCAATGAAAATACCTAATGTATATTGTGATCTACCAAATGAATCGGAGATTTCACGAATGAACTGTGTAATGGCTTGTTCAGTTGAACAATTTTTTTTAAAACCGAATTGATTTTTATATAGAAGTTTATTTAGATTAAGGTAATTGTATGTTCTATTGTATATAACTCTTTCTAAAATTTTTGAGAAAGTTGAAAGAACTGAGATAGGGCGATAATTACTAATATTTGATTTTTTTCCGTTTTTGTATATAGGAGTTACTTTAGCTATTTTTAATTGGTCGGGGAATACACCTTGCTGTATAGATGCCCTAAAGACTTTATAAAGAATACACTTTAAGTTTTCAAAGCAATCTATGACTATGTGGCCATTTATTTCGTCCGCACCCGTAGCTTTGTTTCTTTTGAGAGATTTGTAAGCTCTCTCAAACTCATCAAAAGATAAGTCAGAATGTAAGTTATCAATAAAAAGCGAATTATTTATAGGCTCTAGGAAATCACTAAAATTTTTTTCTGTAATAGGGATCTTGTTTGCCAATTTGGTTCCTATGTCAATGAAATATTTATTAAACTCGTTTGCAATTTCGTTTGGTTAATATATATTTGTTTTATTTATTTTAATTACTTTAGGAAGGGAGTTTGAATTTGTTTTTTGTTTTCCTGTTATTTCTTTCAACGTTCTCCAAGTATTTTTTGAGTCGTTTTTAAATTTACTAATTAAATTTGAATAATAATTGTTTTTTTTATTTTGTACGAATTTTTTCAAATAAATGTTGGTAATTTTTATATTTTTGTTGGTTTTCATTTGATTTTGTTTTTAAATATTTTATATATAGTTTCTGTTTTATTTTAGAGGATTTTCTAAGTCCTTTGGTAATCCATGGACTATTTAAGGTTTTTTTTTTTTGTTATTTTTTCACAAAGTGGAAAGTTTGCATCGTATATTGAGAAGAACGTATCAAAGAATTTATTATATATTGTATTTGCGTCTTCATTAAAGTTAATATGTTTCCAATGCAAAAGTGATAATGCAAAAGTGATAAATTTTTATAACTCCTTTTTTTAATTTTCTATTATAAATATCTGTTGTAAAAATATTATCAATCAACGTTGTTGAAGTTTTGGTTATTCTAGTAGGGCGATTAATTAAAGGAAGAGCTCCTGCCATAAATATTTCATCATAAAAACATTTTACTTTTTTATCTTTATTATAAATTAAACAGTTCATGTTGAAATCTCCAATTTAAAAGTAATTTTGTTTTCTTTGCTACCTTTGTGAATGATATTTTGCTGTAAAAAGAAACTAAGAGTTTCAGACGCACCATCAGGTGTTCTATAACAGCAGCTTAATAGAATACTAATTTTTTTAATGTTTAAAATTTCAATAGTTACGATTTCTTTATCGCCGTCAGAAACGCACATATCATTCCTAATGTTATGTGCAATGTGTTCCTTAACGTAAATCAGAACTCCTCCACTGCGTTTATTTGTTTGTCTTTTTAATAAAATTGTTTCAAAACCTGGAAGATGGAAAATAGAATTATTTATAAAATCATTCGAAGAAATCCACGTTTCTGTTAAGCAAATTATGTTAAAAATATTTTCAGTTTCATCTAAAAAATCGCAAAACTTTTCAAAATTTGTATTTAGACTTCTAATATTAATGTGAAGAATTCTGATTTTTTGATTTTCAGTGCCATTTTTATAAAGAAATTATTTTAACTCGTTGGGATAAAAATAAGAACAACATGTGTTCACATCATTAAAAAAGTTGACATCTGGATCTGAATTAAAATTTGATTTTAAGTATTTATCATGAAAATTAAAAGTAATGGATTCGTAGTCATCCATTTTTGTTTCTAAATTTAATTATAGAATATTAAAAGAATTCCTTTATAATAGGTCGCGCGTAATTAATTTATTGTTAACTACTTAAGCAAACTTACCTTTCGCTCTCAATTCTTTCGCTTCTTTGAAAAGCTTTCTGCGTAAATCCATTGTAAAATCGCTAAAGTCTTCGTTAACGTACAACCGTTCGTTCCATAGCTTCATCGTCGTTTATTTGTTTAACGCTAGGGCTTTGTCTTTGTAGTTTTGAAATCGAACAACTATTGATCTGTTATTTCCGTTTTCTTTTCCAACTCGATGGGCTCTATCTATTAAAATTTTTTCTTGTATATTAAGCTTTGTATTGAGGAAGTCTTTGATTTTGTGGTCACTTTCTTCCCAAGTTTCATTAGCTTTATCTTTAATCCCAATAAATCTCAAGTTCTTTCTACGACTTCTGTCTTCTAGTTCTGCTATTTTCTCTTTTATGTTATTAGTTCCATTTTCAATATTACTTTTATCTGGTGATTTTTTAGATTCTGTTTTTTTTAATTCTGTTTTTTTTTAATTCTGTAAGTTCAATTATTATTTTATCATAGCTTTTACTTATAAATTCGACAGCTTTCTGAACCTCAGATAATTCTTTTTTTAACGTAAAGTTTTCATCTTTTAAGTTATTAAATTTAATTTCTATTTTTTCTATCCGATCATTAAAAATTTTCATCATAGCATTCTCGTGATTTTCAAGGATTTCTTTAAGTTGTGCTGGTGTAAAGTTTTTTGCCATTATTATAAGTTTTTTAATAAGCTCTTAAAACACGTCCGTTCGCGGTGAAAGTTGCGGTATGAAATATTGGTCAGGTAGGTAAATAAAAAGTCATTTTTAAGTATATCAACTCTGTTTTGTCATGTGCACATAATGCTCGTGAATTAAAATGATTAAATAAAACATATTCTGGTTATAAAATGCATATGTCATTATATAAACATTATGAAAGTAACAAGGAGTGTAAATTAAAACTTTATTAATTAACTTTAATTACTCTGCCATCATACATAGTTGTCTTTGATATGTCAATATTGTACCATTCTAGACAACTTTTTGCTAATAATTATTTTTACACATAACATAATCTAAATCACAAGTTGCATAGATGACAAGTTGTTAAATATATTTCTTATTTCGTAAATATATTTATAAAAAAAAGAAAAAGTTATTAAATGTTTCTAACAGCATGCTCAAATTAGAGCTAAGATATCTTATAAACAGACTTCAAAATAGCAAAAAAATTTATAAAAAAAGAAGAAAGAAAGTTAGGAAAAAAGCTGTTTATAAGCAGAAGATCTAGGTTCGAAACGTCTTGGACATATTTTCGCGTCACGGTAAGGAAGGAGGCGTGAACTTCCTGGTTAAATGCACTTCCGCGGTGCTCTGTGACAAGATTGTAGGTCTTCTCGGGGCACCTAAATAACAATAAAAAAATAATAACAATTAAGATTT